TGTATAACTTGGAATTAAATTTTAGTGTATTAGAATATCGTACGTTAAATAAAGATCTGGTAGAGCGCGCACCTTAGACAAAGAAAAGGTTCGCACTATTGCCTGAATACAACATTATGCGATTTTTCGTCAACTGAGTACATTTCATTATATTGATCGATTTGTAAACAATATAATTTATTGTTCACGAAGTAATATTTGTTGTTCAGTAGTACTAGTAAATAGTAAAATTTATTGTTTATAATTTAATCATAAAATAAAAAAATTGACAATTCAAATATTATCGAACATCTGACATCAATATGATAAATTATGACATTTGATCTAAAATAATTAGGGAAGCAACAATTCAACAATTTAAAATTTCCCATTGAGTTTCCTATGGCCCGTTTGATGATTCATCACCCGGTATATATATATATATAAATATATATATATATATATATATATATATATATATATATATATATAATGTGCCGTGTGTGTGTATTCTTTGTGAATGCTTGGTATTACGGAACGCAGTAGCTTGTTTCAAGGTGAAGGATACCTATAGAAGCCTAATTGAATGACTGTGATGACATTTGTGAAATAAAATACGATGTAAATTAAATGAAGAAAAAAATTGGCATGGTCTAAAATAGCACAAGAATGTACACATAAATATAACGAGACAAATCACAGAGTTACAGGTTTTCACCAAAATACCTTTTAAGTGGTGAATCTACTTGTGAATTAAAACGGAAAAGTGAAAAAATAAAAAATTTAGAATAAGATCGAAAAATAGCAGCACAGAGATCAACAATATATCAGTACAACAAATCTATATTTGATAAGAAGAGAATACAATATGAATTCAAATGAGGGGATCTAGTTTATATAACCAATGGTAATAAATTAAACAGAAAAAAATGGATGCTGTCTGAATTGGTCCATTTGAAATAATGGAGAAAGTGTCTGATTCAGTTTATAAAATAAACACAGGACATGGAAAAATATAAAGTATGTTAATATTAATAGAGAACAATATCGTCCGTCATTGTTAAAGGTGACCATGTTTTTGAACCTCACAGATGTTTGAATTTAGAGTTTGAGTCTGGGTTTAGAGTTTGTAGAATATCTTTTAATTTGAAGATTGAAGAATCTATCCTCATCGGTTTTAAAAAACCTTCGGGTTCCAGGAGCCATATAAAACACACCGACATAACCATCGTCCTCCACATAAACAATCAAATCTGTGTGTTTTATTCTGTAGAAATCGGAACAAGTAGAAAACCATGGGAGCGAAATACACTTGAGTGCAAAACAATCGAATCAAGCGATATTTGAGATTGCACTTTCTGTGTTAATGTAAGAAGTATGAAAATAACAAGATATAATGTGAAAACAGTAACTTTATTATTGAACTTACAAAATCGGGTATTTCATTATTTGGAAGACGCATTATAAAAACAATATGCAATACGAACAGAGTTTCTCAAATATTCATCATTGGAACTATCCCAAGAAAGAAGTAATGAACAGAGAAATCATCAATTACAAAATAAATTTTTTTGTTTTTCAGTATCTGATATTACCACCCCTATTCCTAATTACACTTTCCATTCTATTTCGCATGGATCGGATGACTTTTCTAATAAATTCTTGAGGCATTGGTTACCATTCATCATTAAGCGCAGCTCTCAATTCCATTATGCTCCTTGGTGCATGATTTCTGCTCCGTACCCTTCGTTTAAGCTAATCCCAAACATGCTCTATTGGATTTATGTCCGGACTTAACGCAGGCCAATTTATTGTAGAAATACCGATCTTCGTCAGATAGGTGGTGGTGACTCGTGCGGTGACATCGTGTATTATCATAATTAATTACTATTTAACTAGGAATAAGCCACAATTAAAGATAAAAATACGTTTATTGACATTTCAATTTCCACTTCGGAAATCGTTCTCAAAATACAAACAGTAAATTAAACAAATTTTGTTTTTTGTTACATAGTGAAAAATTCTTCTAATAATTTAATTTAATCTGACTCGTTTATATTAACAATTCAGACATACATTATTCATTTTAAAGTAGACGACTTTAAAATGATATTGCCAATATTGTTGCGCTCCTGGGACGACTTTACTTATAAGATAGTTCGATTACATGAAATCAACTTTAACTTGAGAATATCCGTCAGAAAAAAATCATAGCATGTAATTCGTCTTTAAAAAGACAAACACATGACATGATGACAGTAAAATTCTCCTGTTAGTGATTCCATAGTAAATTATAAGGGAAAAACCAGGAAAAAACCTCATAATACTATCCCGACATGGTAAGTATTTGTTCTTGCATTTAGTTTACCTTCAATAAATACCAAAATTCTGATTTTATATGTTTCGTTATTTAAAAAACATAAATGATGTATCCTCTATATGTGACTGACTTACTAATACTGGTATTTTCTTATTAACAACTTCCTCTTTCGGGATAGTATTATGAGGTTTTTTTCCTGGTTTTTCCCTTATAATTTACTATGGAATCACTAACAGAATTTTACTGTCATCATGTCATGTGTTTGTCTTTTTAAAGACGAATTACATGCTATGATTTTTTTTCTGACGGATATTCTCAAGTTAAAGTTGATTTCATGTAATCAAATGAACTATCTAAGTAAAGTCGTCTCAGGAGCGCAACTCAACAATATTGGCAATATCATTTTAAAGTCGTCTACTTTAAAATGCATAATGTATATCTGAATTGTCAATATAAATGAGTCAGATAAAATTAAATTATTAGAAGAATTTTTCACTATTCGATGAATTTACTGTTTGTATTTTGAGAACGATTTCGGAAGTGGAAATTGAAACGTCAATAAACGTATTTTTATCTTTAATTGTGGCTTATTCCCAGTTAAATAGTAATTAATTTTATTTAATTTTAACTTTTTGGTGTCAGGTTGACTGCTTTCAGTCTCCTTCTGACTGTCCAAATGCTGGTAACCACACCTCGGACCTCTCTAAGCTCGTCTTTAAGATTAGCACCAGTCAAATGTCGATTTCTCAGAGATTTAGATGCAAGAAATCGATCCATCTCTCTCTGTTGTTATTCGTTTACGACCTCCTCCTTGTCGGCGGACATAATCACCAGTATCTTGGTACCGACGATACACTCGGGACACAGCAGATTGGCTTAAATTTAGTCGATTTGCCACGGCTCTCTGGCTCAGGTACTCTCTGGTTCTGGTCTTCTCTCAATAATGCTACTGCTTGAGCTGCTTTGACGGATGTGGTATCCATTTGTTATAAAGTTGCGAACTTAATTGACTGATGTATTAATGGGTTGCTATGGAAATTGATGCTTACGATGTTAACCAAATGTGTTAAGTGGGTGCGTGTCGATTTCAATGGGTCAAATTATGACCTCTCTACGTGTTGCATTATTTATTTGTAATACGTCACCCGATTTACCAAAAACCAAACTTTTTTCAAACTCAATAAAGGTCGATTCAGACACATCAGTCACGTCTCGTCACGGCCCTGGCGCCGAATCGAACAATCCGTCATACAAAATATTCTTTAATAGAAATATGGCGCCGGCATTCATATTCATCAGGCGACGAACAGTTTCCCAGCTGTCAGATAATTAATAGTTCTGTGACCAAACAGGACCGGTTCGGCGCCGAGACTGTGACGAGACTGATGTGTCTAAATCGACCTTAATGGGGTTAATAATTGTACACTAAATATTTTTAAATTTACACCTTTTTAAATGAAACAGGAAACGTACTTTCGCAAAATAAGTTTGGGTCGATTTGTTTACACTCAAGTGTAGTACCTATACGGTCTTCGGAGCCTATTCCGAACACTTTTGTAAGCTTTATATTTTCATTTATTTCCTTCTTTGTTGTCTGCCAATATGGTTTTTGTTTTTTTTTGTTGGTAATTTTCCCTTTCAGTGCCTTCTTCTGTTACTAGGTGTATTTAGGTTTTTATGTTTATAATTTAATAAAGAATGCATTCATTAAGTATTTACCAGTACACTTATTTGGCCAAGGTGAATAAAGTACCTACCGCAAGAAATTTTTAAAAAAATTGCAATACTTTGAATATTTTATTGCTTGAACATATTGCAATATTTTGTTTATAGCAAAGGCGTAAATAATCATCAAATTTTAAACAGATACATTTGAAAAGTGACTTTTCAAGTAAAGCTCATAGATAAATAATATAATAGTAGAAATAGAAATATAGCTGTTTGAATAATGTGTTTGAATCAACCTTTAAGGTCGATTTAAACCATCGAGCAAAAAGACAAGTCTTTTTGCTCGATGATTCAAACACATCAGTCCCGGCGCCGAACCGGTCCTGTTTGGTCACAGAATTATTAATTATCTGACAGCTGGGAAACTGTTCGTCAACTGATGAATGTGAATGCCGATGGCATATTTCTATTAAAGAATATTTTGTATGACGGATTGTTCGGTTTGGCGCCGGGACTGTGACCAGACGTGACTGATGTGTTTGAATCGACCTTAATAGAAATATGCCGCCGGCATTCACATTCATCAGTTGACAACGTTGACAAACAGTTTCCTAGCTGTCAGATAATTAATAGTTCTGTGACCAAACAGGACCGGTTCGACGCCTCGACTGTGACGGGACTGGTGTGTTTGAATCGACCTTTAAAGTGGATGAAATTTCCTCTGTAGTCTGTACAATGGCCTAAGGTCGAAAATTATAGTCTAGAAATTAAATATGATTTTTAAGTACTTCGAAAATATACCAATTAAAGTTACAACTATAAATTAAATAAATGCGAAATAAGAATAAATATAATCTAAGGCAATGTGGCTGCATATTCGTGGGATTATACCAGAAATCAGATTGAGTGACAGAAGATCGAAATTTTTGACTTGACATATTATTTTCCAATGTTTTCCCGCGTTGTCGATGACTACTAGTGTTCTGTGATGACTATATTATTGTTTATTTTTAATTTACTGCACATTAAGACAGTTTAGAGTTTGCAATTTGCAATTTGTTAGTCATTTAGAGATAATGTGGTAGATAAGATTTATACATTATGAAAAAATGAGGAAATTAAAAAATTTTACTCCAGATAAACTTAAACAATCATATATTGGTGATTATTATTTTAAGCAAAAGGCATTGAATAACATTGGTGATAAATCTACAGATCAATCTCTACAAATGACAAAAAGCAAGTCTGTTCATATAATTCAAAGTAAGTAAATAACGCAATACTTTGTTATTTGGTTGTTTAATTTCATAACAATTGTTGTTCAAAACTATATATAGTTGATTGTACTGTTAACCATTTACTTTTCTATACTTACATCACAATTTTTATGTTGAATTATCTTTGAAGTGCTTGGGTGTGTAGGTACCTGGAAACAATTCTGGGAATACGAATACCCTATTAGTCTGAAATTTCAAGTGGATTATGATTACTTATAATTCATCTTACAATACATATTTCACTTTGAGTTAATGGAGGGTTTGGGGTTTATAAATATCAAATTTAGTACAGGATCAAAGACAAATCATGTGTTAATATCAAATTCAGTAAAGGATCAAAGACAAATCATATGTTAACTTGAATTACTTCTCTATATTTTACTGTTTGTGTGTGATTGAGTGACCAAGTAAGTATTTTTTTATCTAGTCATTTAAGTGGTTTCTAAATTAATGGCTAATTCTGATTTTGTATTGTAAAATCACACAAATCACAAGAAGTGCCTTCACATTTTGTACTGATGGGTCAAAAACACAAGAGGGAATATTTCTGCACTGTTTAAAACAGAGCTGCTAGCAATTGATTAAATTGTGCCTTAAAAAATATTTCAGCTTTGGCTAAAATATTTATTGTCCTAGACAGTCAAACTGCACTGAAGGTACTGAAGTTTACAACTTATGAGTCAAGTCAACAGCTTGGAATTGCAACTCCCTTGAGCTATGTACAGAGTGCAATAAAGTCACTCTACTGTGGGTGCCAGAGCATAAGGAACTTGTTGGTAATGAGATTGCTAATAGTCTTGCTAAAGGAGGAGCATTTCTCTTTTTATCAGAAGAGGGCCATTCTGTGGTGTACCAAAAACACACTCCACAGTGGCAGACAATATCTGAAAATGTGAAAAAGAACTTTTGGAGTGGAAATGGAATCCGAACATTATATATATTATATTTAATATATAATATATATACAGGGTTACGCAATTGAACTGTTATTTATTCAAATGACCATAAATTTTTTGTGTGAAATTATTTTTTATTGATTCAAATGACAAAAATGTGTGAAAATAATCACCATTTCAGAATCCACTCACTTTAGCTCAATGTGGCCACTTTTTGCCTTGACTATGGCCTTCAAACGATCAAAAAACGAGTTGGAGCTTTCTTAGTTGACACTAGCTTTATGAGACAGTGCCGAGTCTTGTTGGAACGTCCATAGTCTACAACCGAAATGTTGTTGCCCATGACTCTAAAGCAGCTTCTAAAACATTTTCCTGATAATAAGTTGCATTGACTTTGACATCAGATTCAATAAAAACGATTGGAGAGCATCCAACGGCGGTTACAGCTGCCAATACCATTTCTTGAGATGGGAAATTACTTCGGGTGGCCGTTCGTAAGCTTAAATTTTCGTAGGTGAGTTCGGTCAAGTAAACACGATCATTTTGAGAGTTTATGAACGAATCAATAGGTACATTTTTCTCATCAGAGAACACTATGAAATTTGCCACATTTGTGCGTACCAACTTCTTTGCTCTTTGAAGCCATTTTTTTTTGCTTTGATGTAAGATTATGTGCTTTTTGGAACTTGTAAGGCTTGATCTTGAGCTCATTTTCAATATTCGTTGCATGCTTCGCTGGGATATTTTCAGTTTGTTGGCTATTTGATTATCACTACGATGTGGATTTCTCTCAAGTGGAGCCCTAACTTTCCGAACCATTTCAGGTGATGTTGCTGTCTTTTTTCGTCCACCATCATAGCGTTTGGCAATGCTACCAGTATCATTATAACGAGTTATGGTACGATACACAAATATTTTATTCACTTTGAGGTGTTTGAGCTGACGAACAATAGCTGGTTGTGATTTTAGCCAAATAAATATAACACAATCACACTGATTTGCCAGATATATGGATGTGAAGTTGGTAACAGTTCAATATATATATATATATATATATATATATAATATATATATATATATATATATATATATATATATATATATATATATATATATATATATATATTACATGCTGAGAAATTGTTTTTTATCATTTAAATGGTTTCTCATTGCCAAAATGTTTTGAAGCTCGCTGTTTCCACCACTCGCTTATTCCCATAGACTTTTGACTTAAAACAATCTCACAAAAAAGAGTCTAATAGTGCCAAATCACATTCTTGGTGGCATTCACACCACCTCCATGTGTGATGACCATCTTTAGGGTAGTAAAATACATAAGAAACAGCAAAAATTCTTTAATTAACAAAATTGCTGTAGAACAGTGTCATTGAAATACTAATTAGATTATCTTTTACGAGGACCAGAAAGTGTACCACCACCAATTGAACCAGATAGGCTACCCTTTCCTCTTCCAGTTTATAAAAAGCCAGGTGAGTAAATGACATTTCAAAACATTTTTACTTTGGAAAAATTGCAAGTGAACATACTATCTAGTGTAAAATATATATAGTGTAAAGTATATACCTTGAATATATGACCTTGTTGTTGTTATATTCAAAACATCGTCATTTATTTATTTCAATGGTATAAACATTTAGAATAAAATACAAAAATTGGTAAAAAGTAAAGATCATGTACAATAAACATCAAAACAATAACAAAGAAACAAATAAACAGTAAAAATTTGTATCAAATCACAAAAGTTAAAAATATCACATATTCAGAGTAATAATTAGATTCTAAGTTGCCTTTTGAAAACATTAATGTTTGGACAGAATGGATCCAATAGGAAGTCATTGCAAGAGCTGAGCATTCTCAACAAGGGAAAGTGATGAGCATAATCAGTCCTATCAAAAAGGAATATAAAAGAGTGTAGTGTGTCGAGTTTTATGTATTGTATCTAAGTACACATTGACTAATAATGGGGGACAATTACATAACATTGTTTAGAGTTTTAAATAAAAATAACATATCAGCTCTCAACCTGCGGTTCTTCAGTTAAGCAATGTTAAATTGAGACAGTATTACAGAATAATCAATGAAATAATTTTTAGTATTTCTTATATTAATATGTGCTTTAAAATCTAAAGATCTTAGAAACTTCCGCTGAACCCTCTCCAAACCATCAATGTAGACTTCTCGCAGGCCAATCCATGGCAGGAATTCTAACCTCCTGACGATACTGCTGCACAATTCTTGTCGTGTGTGGCAAAGAGGTCAAAGTTGTATGTTCTTCTACAAAGAATTAAATTTAATTATCTAAAAAATCTAAAAAAACAAACATCTAAAAAATTTAGTTTTGTAAAAAATGTTTATATTTTCATATTGAAAGAAAAACTCAGTTACCACAAACAAAAACTTTTTAATAAAAATAAAGTATTAATTCAACGATATATTAATTAAAATTTTATTATATTTTTAGGGACAGCATCAACTTCCTCCCGTCATATTAACAAAGATTGTGCAGGCCATACGAACAGTACAACATCTGATCCATCCGACAACTTTTCTAAGAATATAACTAAGCAAAGTTTCTCAAGCAAAAGATTTCCCGAAGACCCAAACAGAAGTGCAGCAACGTCCCAACCACGACCTCAAAAGAAAAAAGGAGACGACAACCAAACAAATATAAGAGATACTACTACGAGTAATCAGAATAATGGGAACCAAAATAAGTCAACACCATCAACATCACGTACAAACGGTCCGAACGGTACAACGTCTGATCCATCCGACAACCTTTCTAATAGTATAACTAAGGAAAGTTTCTCAAGCAAAAGATTTCCCGAAGACCTAAACAGAACAGCAGCAACGTCCCAACCACGACCTGAAAAGAAAAAAGGAGACGACAATACAACAAATATAAGAGATACTACTACAAGTAATCAGAATAATGGGAACCAAAATAAGTCAACACCATCAACATCACGTACAAACGGTACGAACGGTACAACGTCTGATCCATCCGCCAACTCTTGTAAGAGTATAACTAAGGAAAATTCCTCAAGTAAAGGATTGCCCGAAGACCAAAACAGAACTGAAGCCACGTCCCAACCATTACCTAAAAAGAAAAAAGTGGCCAGTAAAAAAAATACCAAAAATACTACCATGTGTAATCAGAATGACGAGAACCAAAAGGAACCAACGTCGTCAACATCTCTTACAAAAAGTCCAAAAAAGGACGAAAACAAAATGAACGAGGACTATTTAAAGATGATGAACGATGTATTTCACACAGTTTTGCATAACCAGAATCTTGTTCATGTTATTGACGACAAAGCAATCGAGCTGTCAAATATTTTACAATCTGCAAATACAGAATATCAGTACATTTGTTATAAATTATATACCAGAATGGTCGCGTGGCACAATATTTTCAAAATCTGTAAGGATTATATGCCCAATTTGACAGATGAAAATGTTATTAAGATTTTCAATTTTTTAAAGGAAAATAAATTTGTTGATACAGGTGAGTACCAATATTTTAATTATTTGTGACATTGATTTTGGATCTAGCCATTCATGCAATCAACATGCCTCCTGATATATGATGTATTTCAATATACGGTATTGGCGATGTCAAACGAAAGGGGCGGCACGGTACGGTAAAAATTTGAACTAGTGCACCTAGGATAACAAAACATTTTGTATTTATTTATACACACATAACAGTTATAAACATTTTAAATGTTATTAAATAAAGCACAATAAGGTAACAAAATGTTAAAAAGTAAATGTAAATAGTATTGTTATATTATAATCTGTTATATAATGTAATAAGTATGCACTTTTTTCCTCGTGACAAAAATCTACAAGATCGTTGGGCACAGGAATTAAAAATTAAGAAATCGATGTCAAATGATATGATGGTGTGTTCACAACATTTTTTATCAACAGATTTTTTTCAAGTAAATTTGCTGAACAGAATTGCAACATTTATTATATATAATGTAATACCAAACCAAATATATACACTAACAGATCTTAATTAAAATTTCTATTACAGCTGCAGCAGGAAAAAAAAAACTTTCAAAGAAAGGTGTTATTCCCTCTCAATGCCTTCTTAAAGGAAAACACGAAAGAAAAATCAATGAGGAACTGGTGAATGCTAGACTAATGCGTAATAAAACACACGCACATTACTCCCTGGCGGGTTTACAAGTGCATTTTGCCACCCACGCATCTCTTAACACATTTACAGTGATTTTATGTGGGGCACCATTTAAATTAGTGGTTTGCAGACACAAACCGACTAATTTGTTATTATGTTTGCCACACAACACAACGTGGCCAGCCTTTAACAAGGCCTCGTCTTCTTTTAAAGGTATTTTTGTGTCTCCTATATATTTCAAAATATGAAGCAGACTAAGTTTAATTTCTTTATTTGCCATTGCGTTAACAAAAAAATCAATGGAAGATAATAAATACGGATAATTTTTAGACACAACAATCATTCACCTACAAAGATTATGGTAGCTCTGTTTTGTTTTCCTACGTGCGTGATCAGCTGATCATCTGTCAAAGCGCCCGCTATAGTTCGTTGACATCGCCAGTAGGTAAAAGTTTATGGTCGGGTATAGTAGAATTTAACAGGATATCTTAACACAGATATAAAATCATATTTTCAGCGAATAGACAAAGATACAACTCATATTTCCCCTTTGTCTCCCCTCCACATTCCTCATGCACGCTTATTAGTGAACGCCAGACGATTATTTCCGATCCAGTTTATACGTAAAAAACAGCGGTAGGTTTGTCTTATTACATATTTGAAATAAAACATTGAATTGATTCAAAAAATTTGCGATCAGTGACGCGGTTATATTGCCATTCAAGACTGGATGATGATATTAAAAAATGAAACACTAATTGACACAAATACTGGTACAAAATATCTTAAATCCATGAGAAATTTACAGATTCGCATTCTTATTTGACTAAATTTTAACCTAATTTCCAATAAAACAAGATAATTTTGGCAACATCGCCATTCGTTAAAGATAAAGATAATTCAACTTAGCCAAAACATATCGGCAGATGAATTCAACGCCATGAGAAATGCGTTGTATAATCGATTTGGTTACTGTTCGTTACAATTTGGTGGTCTGTTTGAACATTAAATGGCCTAAAATTTTTATTTGGTTTAGAGTTTCTAATTGTTTGGAATTATTTTTAATTTAAACAGTAGTCTTGGAATTATTTTTTATTTGACTTCATTTTTATAGAACAAATTTTATACTTTTATACTAATTGTATCTTTTTAGTTTCATTTTTATAGAACCAGTTTTAATTTTCACGAAAAATTTTCCAAAAAATCTAAACAAAAATATGGTTTCAAAGATATTATTTGGAAAATACCAAATAATACTTTATTTTTAATTAAGACATAATTTTTCGTCCGGTTTAAATTTAATATAATACACCTACTCCTTCCTAATGCTTTACTAGTACTGTCTTTATTTATTATGCCTTTATGAAAGACCACTGCTCTATACCACAGTAATAAATTCAAAGTGTCGATACTTTGACGACCCGACGTTTTCAAATAATTTTGTATGAAGCTTTTTTATTATGGCGTTGTATTGCAGTTTATTATTTTTATTAGGAATATGTCACAGTGTGACTTTAAAATAAGCTTATTTTGATTTTTAGATTTCCAATTCGGAAATCGTATAAAATACATTAATAAATTTTATTTATATAAAACGATTTCCGAAGTGGAAATCAAAATGTTAAATTAAACTTATTGTAACGTAAAATTGTGGCATATTCCCAATAAAAAACAGTAAGATGCCATTTAAATCTTCTGTACATATTCATGTAAGCTTTTGTTGAATTTATTATTTCCATCAATGCATTTTCGACAATATAAAGGGCGGACCTAATATACCTCTCTCTTTTTTAATAGGTGTTTCTTACTCCTCTCTCATAAGGTCCATACTGACGATAGATTACTACCCAGGCTGTAACAGTCCATTAATTTTAGTATTACTGAAGATACACTACATTGATATATTGATTTATTATTTTTATTGGAATTAGCTAATTCGGCGAATTTCTTACCGCCTGACAATTAAATAATGTGTCGCAAAGTTTAATTCGTTCTCTACGCAAAAAGTTTAATCAATTAACTTCTTTCTGATGTATGTAAATATATAACGGTAACAGTTTTCCTATGTGCTAAAACGCAACGTATGATTGTCCATGTAAACATGAAAACTCCAATGAATTAAATTCACCTTGCTTCATATTTCTTTTATTCTTTTAATGTTTCACTGTAAATTCACTTAACACACCAACTATGTTCGGACCGGCATGTAAGTTCCACGATCAAAAGCTAGAGTTGGTTTTTAAGGAGGGTTTTGAAGACTACACACGCCGAAATCTTTCTCCTTCCAAATCTCAATCCAAACTTGACTGTTTTCTTTGTCCTCGATTTACTCAACCTTCATAACCCCTCCGACCAGTTTTCGCTGGCGGCCAATAGGAATTTTATTTAATGACGCTTTTTATAGGATTATGGACCTTAAGGGTGCTGGGCTTTCAAAATCGTAGAAGTTAAAACGTAAATATGACAATTATTTAATTACGCAGTTAAAATTTCTCTTAGATCTGTCGTAAAACACTTGTATAAACAAGAACTTCAAGGAATTTGTATATATAGCCAGGGGCGTATCAAATAAATATTATACATTTAATATTCGATAGTTATAAGGAAATTATACATGCTACAATGGAGGACTACAAGCTCTCATCAAAACCACGGCTCCAAGTGTACAATGGACACATTATGTCATACATAGAGAGGTCTTAGCAGCAAAGAACGTTACACCTGAATTAAGTGTTGTGATGGATAGCATTATTAAAGTGGTGAACTACATTAGAACACGATGCGTGGGACCAAGACTTTTCCATAAACTTTGTGAAGAAATGGGGCCGAGTACCCCTCTTTAATTTATTATTGCAACTCTCGTTGGCTGTCCAAGGGCATCGAAGTGCATGTGTATGCAAATTAACCAATTGGTTAATTAATTTGCCTTGTATACCATCAAAGTTTAAAAAATATACAAATTAAGTAATGAATTTTAAATATCTCGCAATTGGCAGATACAATTACTGGATTAGAGAAGAAATTGAAAAAGAAGAGAAGAAGTGAAAATTAGAGTAGACTGTATTCTACAAGAAAAACCCATAGAAATTCTTGATCCCTCTTTAAAAAATATGTTACAAAACACATGTTATCATTAGGCGAACACTTTGAGAAATATTTTCCCGAAGATATGGAGCAATATGACTGGATCATAAACCCTTTCCTGTCATCCACACCATCGACACTTTCAACAGAGGAAGAAGAACAACTGACAGAATTGTCCTGTGATTCCAGTCTAAAGCTTCAATATGACAAGGACAAACCGTTTGAATTTTGGAGTTCACTTTCGCATGAATATCATGTCATTAGCAATGCTGCATTAAAGGTTTTATTACCATTTGCGACTTCGCACTTGGGCGAAACGGGCTTTTCTGCAGTTGCAGTAATTAAAAACAAGTACAAGTCAAACATAAATTTAGAAAAAGAAATGAGAGTGGCAATTTCCAAACTTGAGCCCCGGTTTCATAAACTGTGCTCAAAAAAGCAAGCACATCCCTCACATTAACCGGCCAGATACATAAATAAATATCCCCTTTCATTGTTGTGCCTATGTTTTGATTTCGTTCTTAATTTTTAATAAAAAATATATGTGTTCAAATCGTGTTTTGTTATAACTATAACCTGTTACTAGGCTAGTACTAGAATTGGTAAGTATTATTGGGGGTTGGGTTGAGGGGGCGTTGCAAAAAAATAGCAAGGTCCCAAGGGCGTCACAGTACGAATAAGTTTGGGAAGTCCTGCTCAGTCACATTTTTTCATTAGATTCCGACAGGACTTTTATTAGTCTCTATCGCTATTCTTCCGATTCATTCAGTACAACAATGTCATCTGTGTATCTTAGGTTATTGATCAATATTCCGTTGAAATTAACACCCTCTGATCGTTACTTTAGATATTATGCTTCTTCTAAAAAGAAGCAGAGGCAGGAGGCATGCCTGACATAAATGGTATTGCCATTTGCAGTACGAACGCGCTCATGATTCCAGTATATATTGCAGATAATAATTATGTATCGGCCATTGAGCCCTATCTCTTGTAATATTTGAATAATTGTGTCGTGCTTTCTATGATAGAATTCCTTCCGGCAATCAACAAAACAAGCCTAAAATTGTATGTGCTCTTCCAAATATCTTTCCGACAACACTACTAACCCCAGAATTGCTTTCCCAATGCCTTTCCCTTTCGAAAAATATTAATAATGAATATTTATAAAAATGGATAAAATACTCTTGCATTTTGCAGATTATAAACAAGATAGTGTGGAATCACTGCTAGAACAACTGCCTACAAAAGATGTTAAAAATATTTGTTTAAACCTCAAAATTAAAGCCAACGTTACCAAATATAAGATGATAGAAACTTTATTACATAGGTGTAGACGGCAGCCTACCCTCTGCGGTATTAAGTCTACGAGTAATATTATTTTAGAAGAAATAATCAAGAAGATGGGGGTGTATGCTGTAAGGATTAACGACTCGTTTAAAAAACATATTAATCACGTTTACCTATTAGCAACATTCACAAATACAAGATTTCAAAATATTGAAGATTTCCTACGAAGGGATTTAAAACGCGATTTTCCAGATTTCGTACCTGAAAACTATAAAGTTTTCAGTGGTAGAGAAGAATTTCTGAGGTAAGGGATTTATTAATACATTGTGTTAATTTTAGGATGAAAAGATACTCACTCACTGAAACATACAATACATATTACATATTCATCATATCATCCACCATATAAACGTCTCTAGTTTTTGTGTATGTATTTTCTAACGGTATTTCACATGATACAATGAACACATGTTGTACCATGGGTATTTCAAATCTCCTCATTCAACATTTTCAAACCATGGTACAATGAAAGTCTCGTACTAACCTTCTAACAGGCAACATGTATCAAAGAAATAATTAGTGCAATGCATACCTTATCACATTAATTCTACATTAGAAAACTTAAATACAACAACCGGAAAAAGTGTTTGTATTGTGTTAAATGTTGAAGTAATTAATAAGTAATAAACTAATACAACAAATTTAGGTATTAGTAGGGGAGCCAGGAGCAAAATGTCTTTAATAAATTTAATTTTTATTACATTCCATTGAAAAGAAATGTACAACACGAGGCCACAACAACAACCCAAAAATATTCAATATTCGCCCAGCATGCTTCAACCAACGCAGTCCTCAACTATATTATTACCACAACAAAATATACAGCCAGTGCCATGTTTTGTTCAATCGATTCCGAACACGTTAACACCACAGGTCCAGATATAATCACAATCAATCATTATTACCCCCATAACCCTCTAAGACAAATATGTATGCAGCCAACATCAAAAAGTTCTCCTATGCAGCATTCCATTGATTGCAACAATGAAAAGAGATGGGAAACAACCGATGATGAAATGCAATGGTACACAGTCCTGGTCATTCTCTAATTTTTTTGGTCATTCTTATATTGGTCATTCTTTGTACATGTTTATACCAGATTCACTGTTCATCTTTTATTTGATGTGTTGTTTTGTGACTACGTTGACATATATGTATACATGGTCGTGCTTGCTGGTCTTTTCCAGATGTATATATATGTTGCTTATAGCACTTTTTATATATTTTTTACTGGCCATATTTCTTAACTTAAATACTTTATCCAGTATTCGGTCTAGTATCTTTTTGGTTCTGCTACATTGCACATTTTCACATACTTTAGTGTATAGAGGGTGCAGTCCTTTATACCTTAATACATTTTATTATAAATCCTTTGCCTTATTTATCGGTTTGATTTTTGTTCTGTTTGTCTTAGTAAATTATTTTAATCGCTTTTGTTGGCTCTATATTTGTGTTAATTTTTACTATCGATTTCCATAGTTTAGTCAGGACACCATCGTGGACTTTCTTTAGGTTTACAAATAGAAATGGTAGTTTTTGATCATACAAATAGAAGATGTAGTTTTTGATCATGTGGTTCTTGTTAATAAAAGTGTTTTACTGTTGATCTTCTTACTCTAAATGCCGCTTGCTCTTATACCTCTTTATATTTGTCAATTTCTCTCTTAAATTTTAAGATTTTTCCTCCCTTGCGCTCGTACGTTTTGTGTGATTTGCTCTCTAAACTCTTTAATTAAATCATTAATAGATCTTTAACATCATATTCGACGGGTTCGTTTCATTATCTCAAACAAACCATTGATAATTAACTTGTTATTTTTTTCTAAAAATTTTAGGTATGCAGATGCATGTGAGCTCAAAAAAACTGTAGAGGCGACTAAAAATAATGATACTTTAGTGCTACAAGAAATTGGCAAGAAAGTTCATGAAACTTTAACGACTTTGAAACGAACGTAAGTAAATGATAGTTTAAATTTAAATTTTTAAAAACGAAATAGTACATTCTCTCACACTTGCACCTGTCTCCACACTAGTTGTGTTTTATCATAAATATTAAATCTTTATATTCTCAATGGCAACTCATTTCTTACTAAGTGCCCAACACACAAATTTTCGAAGTATCATATGCTTTGTCAAGATCTAAACTAAGATCTAGAGAACTAAAGTGAATGTAGTTGATTAGAGTATAAGATATATTTCGGTATAACCGGAAGAACAAATAGATGAAAATATTTTCATTAAATAGGTCACTCTGCAAATCCCATTCTTCATACTTCATGATTCCAATGATTCAGTTATTTTTAATTCTTGAGATAACCCCCTCTGTGGCTCAGTGGTAAGATCGCCTACCTTTGAACATAAAGGTCGTGAGTTCGAATCTCACCTGGGTGGAGAAATTTTCGTTTATTAAAAATTAATGAATGAAAATAATTTCTATCTTTCTGCGATCGGTACTCACCGGAGGGACCGCAGACGTTCGGATACAATTAGCGTCTCTTAGCAAAGACAATGACGTCGACTTTGCTAAGTATCAACACAATTACTCTACACACACATACACACACTACACTAGGTACCTGACTGTAAAAATTCACTGTACCATGCCAATGACCATTAGTTGTCAACGCATTAAACTTAATAAAAAAAAAAATACTTGAGATATTTTTAATTGGCGGTTTATTTGCCACACCCTGTATATGTATGTAGCTCAGATGTTACACTATCTTCTTTTCCCTCTGTAGATAAATAGATTTAGCGAGGTGGCCTTTTGGCGTATTCAACTGCGACCTTTTCAGATTTATTGTGGTCCTCTAGTCCTAGATAACATTCTCTAGCGTGAGTTTTTGTATAAAGTCTAATAGCTTAGAGACTGTATCTTCCATGCAACTATTTGCCGGTGGATTTTCTTCTCCCAATACAAAGAACCGCACATTTGCCAGACTGTCACACTGACATAAAATGAGCTCTGCTGTTTTTTCTTCGAGGTGACAGAATCTGCACAGGTCATCATCTGATAATCCCATTAGCTTTAAGTGCCTATTCAGCTTACATTACAATGTTATTCTAACAGTGGCCTGTTAGAATACCTACTGTGGCGTTGACTGTGTCTTTGCTTATTAGGTCTGCCGTAAATTTTGGCTAATGTTCTGTAATGAACTGTTTCACCTGTCTCTGTCTTGCTGAATTCCTCCATCATTCCAGAGATTTGTGAGCTACTCACTTCCTTGTAGCCATTCTTGTTACTGACTTCGGTTCACCGAATGGCATTGATGAGCCGTGTTCGGCCATTTCATCTGCTTTTTCATTGCCCTTATGACCCTTGTGCTCCGTAATCTTGCTACGGTCTCCTAGTTTATTTAGGGCAAATACACAATCCCATAATAGATTAGAATTGACCTCTACAGAATTGAATGCCTTAAGCGGTGCCTGACTATCTGTGAAGATGGCAACTGAACAGAACGTTTTTTCCTGCCTTTTTATTTCTTCCACGCAGTGATGGCTTGCCGTTATTTTAGCCTGGAAAACTGTCACATCCTTAGATAGACTTACCGGGAAATGTATCCCTTGATTTGCCCCTACTAGGCGGGCTCCCACACCCCCCCCCCCGATATTTTTGAGCCATCCGTGTACCAGGTAGCAGCAGCTTGTACGGGTACACCTTTATTCCAGTCTTCCCTGCCTGATATCTTAATTGTGAATTTATTGTTAAAGCTATATCTCGTAGCGGTTGCATCGATAGGTTGCCCCATCACAATATCGGCTTTTAGCTCCTCGATTAGCTTTCTGTTGTCAGCACCATACATCTGGCTTATATGTCGCTGACTATGGATTAATCTGCGCATCACTGATCTGACTTCGCCCTGTATAAAGATATGAACTGGTGGTAGATTCAGCAGGACTTCTAACGATGCAGTAGGAGTTGTTTTTTATGGTCCTCGTAATACACGAGCATGCTAGCCTTTGTGTATTACGTAGCACGCTTATTTTGGGGTTAAGTCCCCAATTCTTACCGCACATTCTTCTACATCTGCACAGGGACATAATAGCTTTCTATGTGGTTTTCAGAATCTGAGTGTTCCATGTAAGCCTATGATCAAAATGCACCCCAAAGTGTTTTGTTTCTTTGTCAAATGAAATCTCCGTTCCTCCCAGCACCGGTGTTTTGAGGCCTTGTAGTGCTGTTTTTTTGGTGAAGTTAACGATGTGTGTTTTCTCTGAGCATTGACGATCAGTCTCTCTTGTTTACACCAGTCGTCAACTAGATTTAGGGCTTCTTGCATTCTCTCAGACACCACCTGAGCAAACCTGCCCCTGACAACGATAGCATATACTAGACAATAAAAGCCTTCTGTGAACAGATTTCTGAAGAAACCGTCTACCAAGGTTGCCCATAGTAGAGGGGACAGAACTCCTCCTTGTGGACATCCTCCACCCACTTTTGCTTTGATGGTTGCTTTACCCAGAGTGGACATTACTGTCCTATTCTCTAGGGATGCCCTTATCCATCTGCATATTACTCCAGGTGTGTCTCGTCTACTCATAGCTCCTATCAAATAGCTGGTAGTAACATTATTAATTGCCTCTTCTATATCTTACAATGCGGCCATTGCTATCTCTCTTTGTCTTACATTGACTTTGAGATAAGCCTATTTAGATCATTATGCATATTGACGATTGCTTAGAACATTATCTTTTAGTACTTCGTCTCTGATGTACCTATCAAGAACCCTTTCCAGCGTTTTTAATAGAAAAGAAGATAGGCTTACCGGTCTATATGACTTTGGTGTTAGGTCTGATACCTACCCTAGGCAAGTATATGACTTTAACCTCTACCCATATCTCTGGTACGACCCCCATGCTAAACTGCTTTGAGGGGATTGCATAGGTGTGGTATCAATACCACATATGTCCCTGGAGACTTATATGGCCGAAACTTATTTATAGCCCATCTAATTTTGTTTGGTCTTGTTATTGCTGTGTCTATTTCCCAATCTGTAGACCTTGTCCTAGTGAGCCTTTGGTCTATGTTGGTTTGCCTATCTGCATCATCCAGATTTGTTGAGCCTGGAAAGTGCATGTTTATCAGTTCTCTAAGACATTTTTCCCTCTGTTTGATGACATACAAATTAATAATATATTTATTTATTAATAATAAACAAAATGTATTTCTGTTTAATTTACGTAAACAAGAATACAGAAATACAATTGTTTTACATTTTTTTTTTATTTTTAGTAACGACGAAATATATCTCAACGCACCACATCTAAAACGTTTTACTGCCGAGTCAGTATACTGCGGAATTTTAACCAATATTTGTGAAACATTAAAAACCAAATACGCCGACAAAGTCCAAGAATTTTTAGAATATCTGATCGAAAATTTTCCACGTTCACACAGAATCGGTACTTGGTATATGTTTTTGTGTGACATATTTATTTCCCGCAATTTGTCAAAAGAAGCTGTGAATACTATTATAACAGCACTCAGTACCAAAAAAGAATATATTTTGGAGTATCAGATTTATGAATTTGCACATAAGGCGCAACGGCTAAAGAACCGTAAAAACATCGATCAATATTGTCATGATCAACTAGTGGGATTATTAGTTGCTCCTATCCATTTAGAACACTTTCCCCAAGATGTTGTAGATGCCAAAGCAATTAGGAGGTAAGTATATTAACATAAATATATATTCAGTAGTAAAAAATAGTATTCATGTGTTTAAAAAAAGAACAAAATAATTTTCATTACTTATTAAAATCTAAATAATATCTCTTATCAAGTAACAACAATATTCTCCCAAGTTCATATTTACCTAACTTTATATATAAAAATATCGTGGCACACTGTTTGTCCAAGTTAATATTCAAAAACTACTAAACCGATTGCAATTCACAAAATTTTGTGAAAGTGTATTTGTTGTTTCAACTTAGTGGATATTTTTTATCTCTTTTATTTTATTTTTTATCTCTTACCGTCTTTACTACTTTATTTGTTGTCATATCCATGCCATGTCATGTTTATGAATATCCATCCGAATTATTTCCTTCATACAAATAAAGTAAATGAAAATTTAGAAATCTCATGTTTATTTAAGTTTTTTTATACCTCAAACTTTATGTCTGGTAATTTTGGATTAAATTTCACTTCCCGAATCCGAAATCTTTGGGGAAACAGCTACTTTATGAGTATTTTCTTCCTATAAATAATAATAAGTAAACATTAACAAAACTTATTTAAAAATTAAAACTTAAAATAATATACCTCACTAATATTTGTTGCTGAGTTAAAAGTTTCTTCCTGTAAGGGTTCTAAGTTTGTATAAGTCTTAAGCGAACTTGTTTTTTGACGAACACCTTCTTCTTATAAATAAAGTAAATAAAGATAAATAAAACAACTGTAAAAATTTAAGTTTTTAATTTATTCCTCAAAAATAATGTCTGGTAATTTTTACAATACAAAATAACTTACCTTCTTCTCATTTGTTATTTCTCGAACACGCTTTAAAATTAAAGCAGTCCTCTGCAACATATTTACACACTTTTAAACACAACATTTATAAAAAAACAACGCGACACTTCTTAATTATTGCTCAACAGACTGACCTGAATTAAAAAAATTAACAAAACGTAAACAATGCTGTTAAAATGGCGCCAATTTCTGCTTTGTTTAATTATGTCACCTAGCCAAATCTAAGTCACTTAGTCGGGTATTGTCAAATGTTTACACACACTTAGTCGATTTGGCGTATAGCTAAAAGTAAAATATATTCCAAAATACAGATTTCTAGGCTTTGGTAATTTTTTTCCAATTAGATAACGTCATTACGTGATAGATGGCAGCATTATTTGAATAAACTTGAATTTGGCGCTTAGTTGAGTTATGCATAACGCGGTCAAAATATCGTAAAAAATTGAGTATCAATATTTACATGTGTATAAAGTCTTAACGTAGTTTTAAATTCATAAATAGTTCTTTTTAGTAATTAGTTTTAGTAATTTTTGTGAAAATTTTAAAAACGGTAGAGAATAATAGTAATATTTTGATTGCAAAATGTAATGTTTTAGTGACCAATCTGGGAGAAAACGGCTCTATGAAGTACACAATTCAGATAGTAGTAAAACATATAAAACTGTAGAACAAGTTGCACAAGACTATTATGTTGAAACATGTGGTTATACCGATGGCATACATTGTGAAGGCAGTATTATAATGAATTCGTTCACGCTTTTCTTCTGGGAAATTATTTATAGCCAAAATCCAATCATCCCGGGTACTTTTTTATCTAAATATCAAGAAGTACCCCTTGATATGTATTCCACTTATTTCTACAAAAATCGGAAACAACTAATTGACAAAAGATTGAAGGATATAGCTGAAGGTTGGACATATGAAGAAACTATTGAAAAAGCTACAGAGTACTGGAATAAATATTCACACATATCAGGATTGTGTGGTCCAATATGTGAGACTCTAGATATCAAATTCCTTAAAATAATTGTGGATTGTATCGGAAGAAAAATATTGTCTAAAATTTATGAAAGACTGGTGAAAGATATACGTCAGTACCGAAGTGGAATGCCGGATTTGTTTTTATGGAATGTAGACGAAAAAAAGGTATGTATATATCGATAAGTATTTTTTACTTACAGTATATTTAACCAATTTACACCTCTAAACGATTAATGGAATTCGCAGAAAACCTTTCGTTGTAGTAAAAGGCACGTGGAGTTCTTCATAATCTTTTTAATTACTTACTTTGTTTAGAATATTTTGCGTGTATTCTCGGTTAGAGTTAATTTGTATTAAATAAGGAGCAAAAATTCAAATGGAATTTTAAATATTATTGTTTATTTGGCTATTAATGAATGTATAAATATAATGGTTAACCTGTTGTACTAATAAAGCAGGAAGCAAGGTTTAGATATCTGGGAATAGATATAACTAGTTACGGAGATTTTAAAGAAGTACGACAACAAAGCTTAAAAGCAAGTAAAGCGGCGGGTTCTCTTAATGACACAATCTGGAAGAACAAATACCTAAGACAAGACACAAAAACAAGAATCTGTAAAGCAGCAATTAGACCTATATTAACATACACGGCGGAGACAACACCTGACACATCTAAAACGAGACGACTGCTAGAAACAACAGAGATGAAAATACTCCGACGAATAGCAAGAAGAATAGGGAGAAGTCTCTTGGATAGAGAGAGAAGCGAAAGGAGTGGAACGAACACATCAGTAGAATGGCAAAGGATAGAATAGTACGAATAGCACGAGATTAGTCACCAAATGGACGAAGAAGTATTGGCAGACCAAGCAAAAGATAGTGCGACAATTTATACAATTTAGAAAGCTAATATTGAAGAAGAAACAGGCTTTAAAGCCTACATACTAGTAGGAAGAAGAAGATCTGTTGTACAATTATTTTGTAAATAACATTATAATAGTGTACTGATTATTTAAATTTATAAATTATCATCATCTTTACTACAGCTATCATTATGTAAATCTATAATCACTGGATTAATTTCACTAATTTTATTTTTCTGGATCCACATTTCTTCTATTAATTTTTCACATTTATTTACAGTTTTGGCCCATATTTATGGAGTTGCAGTTTTAAGAGCTTTCTTGTCACATTTCCCTAACTGCATCGTCACTGTACCCACTGCATCCAACGTGATTGTCATAATACGTTTTACATACAGGGTGGTGAATCGTCAAACGGGCCATAGGAAACTCAATGGGAAATTCTAAATTGTTGAATTCCTGCTTCCCTAATTATTTTACACCAAAAGTCATGGGAAACTATTTGTAGAGGACTCAAATATGTATCGAAAACAACTGTTAAAATTGTTCTACGACTTGAACGTATTCCAAAATTTTGCTAAAATCTAATACATTTTTCAGGCCACCCCTAAAAGTCAGGCCAGACGCCGTGAAAAAATGTGTATTACGTGTTGCGTTTTGTCATATTGACGTTTCTAATATTTGACAATATTTAAATCAACTATATTATATTTATCTACGATTTAAATGGCCAATATTTTTATTTTGTGATTTATTGTTTAAAAAATATTAAGTTGATTAAAAAATGTACTCAGTTAAGGAGAAAAGAGCAATAATAAAAATGTTTTATTCGTGTTTTATTATAACATTTGTTATAGTTTTATGTTTAGAAATTCTCATAAATTATTTTTAAGAATAAAGATCACAGTAACAGTATTTTGGAATTCATTGAATTGTTGTATAACTTAACTTAACATGGAATTAAATTTTAGTGTATTAGAATATTTTACGTTAAATAGAGATCCGGTAGTGACAGAAAAAGGTTCGCGCTATTGCCTGAATACAACATTATGCGATTTTTCGTCAACTGAGTACATTTCATTATATTGATCAATTTGTAAACAATATAATTTATTGTTCACAAAGTAATATTGTTCAGTAGTAGTAGTATTTAGTAAAATTCATTGTTTATAATTTAAACATAAAACAAAAAAATTGACAATTCAAATTGTCAAACATCTGACATCAATATGATACAACACACACGTTATATATTCTTGTATTACGTGTGGCCTAACTTTTAGGGGTGGTCTGAAAAATCTATTATATTTTTGCAAAATTTTGAAGTACATTTGATTCGTAGAACGGTTTTAACATTTGTTTTTAATTCAGATTTTAGTCCTCTACAAATAGTTTTTTATGACTTTTGATCTAAAATAATTAGGGAAGCAGCAATTCTACAATTTAAAATTTCCCATTGAGTTTCCTATGGCCCATTTGACGATTCACCACCCGGTATACCCCAGATGTGTTCGATGGGATTGAAATGGAAGTGATACGGCGGTAACCGTAGTACAAGTATGTCCATAACTTGATACAATTTGGTCTACTAAATAAACTATTAGTTTTTCATTACGTTTCGACATTTCTAGTAACTCTGATTTGAAGGCATATTCCGGAAAATTGATATTATTTTTAACTAACCAATTTTTTATGCTCGGTACGTTCTACGACTGTTTGGTTGTTTCACAAATCTCCAAATGGTAAGGTGCATTACGATAACTAATGGTTCACTCAGACTAGGTAACAGTTTCTCCTCAAGCTATTTACCAAACATTTCTGTATTCATGTTTTCATGGTAACCAGCAGATTTTTATTTTGAAGAAAAAATTAAATCTGTGGTTTTTAGCATTCCTTCCCTCCTGCATGAAGAATGATGTGTCTTTTGCCTTCGCTGTCTGTATGTTTTATTGATTTTATGCTGTCGTCTTGCTAAATTCTTTTAATTCCACCCTTTGCAAATATCCATGTCTCATCTCAGTATACGAATGTTACATTTTCAGATTTAAGTCTAGTATATTCTCTCAAAAATTTAATTCTTTTGCGAACCACACTACTTCGTTCGCGTAAAAGTAACCTATTATTATTATTATTATTTTAATTTAAATCTTTAATCTCTCAACACTTTCCAAAGGCTAGTCTTCTTAATTTCAGAAACTTACCTTTCTCTTATTTTGACCAGTAAAGTATCTAAACTGACATGTTGATTGTTTTCACGCATTCGATACAAAATATTGCGAATTTCAAAATGTTTCTCCATCAGTATATATAAATAAACAGTTACTGTAAACCCTTATACAAAATGTTTTAGAAGACTCTACATCCGTTACAGTGATAGTTCATTTAAACATAAAGTGACGTTTAAAAAACTAACTTCAAGTCTATTTACTTTTTCGTTTAGCATAAACTCGAGAAAATTGATGAAATTGTAAGGGAAATTTTTATTTTTAATTATTTTTGTAATTTATGATAATTTACAGTTACATTTAGTAGTCAAGCTGCCATTAGACGTTCATAGCAAACCAAATGCAATGGACCGCAGGAGTGTGACGTCACGACTGTCACATTGACATTATTACTTTCCAAACAAAAGTTGAAATGTCAAATCTCAAGACTTTTTAATTTCTATGAAGTTAACATTTTGCTTCCTCTGCTGCTTTTTCTTGTAAGCATAGTGTTTTTTACGATAATACCATCATAATTCAGAGTTCTATTTCTATGAAATATAGTTTAAAAGTTTAAATACAGAAATTGTAACCTTACTTTATTGATACATGCATTTTATTGCTATTAGCATAAAACAATGTGCCTTATTATTTACACAACATTGTAAAATTTTTGTAGTAACTACGAGAATACTTAAATATTGCAATAAGCGGAAAGATTCTATAAAATAAATGAAAAAATATCGAAAAATACAAATTATCCACACTAAACCAGGTTTGTTTGGAAAGTGAAACTGACGTATATCAGTAAAATGTACGTCATCACTCCTGTGGTCCATATGCAACATTAAAAAAAGAAGTTTAATGGTTGCACTGCAGTGCAAACAAGCTTAGTTATTATCCTGGATAAATGTACTACGGCTCATAAAGATTCACTCGAAGCATTACATAGAAGAATGCAAGATTTAAACGGCAACGACAAACGATTCGGCGATGCTGTGTTACTATTGTCTGGTGACTTTCGACAGACATTACCGGTTATTCCTTTTTATACATATTCGGATGACATTAATGCATGTTTAGCACAATCGTTTTTTGGCAAAATGTCCAAACAGTTCGATTGACTATTAAGATAAGAGACAAGTGCAAAATAATCTATCAGCGCAAATATTTTCCAACCATTTGTTAAATATTGAAAACGGTAAAACAAAACTACATTCAGATACACAATGCATCAAGCTTCTAGATAATTTCTGCATTTTTGACGTTAACAAAATTAACTTCCAGATTCAACAGTTGTTACCAGGTGATCGGATATCTTTTAAATCAGTCTACAGTATTGTTAATGAAGACGAAGCAGTAAATTATATAAAAGAATTTTTAAATTGATATACCGGGGATGCCATCGCGGATTTCAGGATATTTACTTAACTCTGCAACATCATTTCAGTCATATTTCAATTTCATCAATCGTTAATATTTTAACATTTTTAAGGCAGCAATTTTATAATTTGAATGTAATTTTCAGGCCAAATTTGTTGAGGTTAAAGGGGAAAATGACAGACTCTCGATAAAGCAGCAATTGTGGTTGAAGTATTTACTGGAGATCGGAGCAAACGTAGCAGTTTGTCACGTACACTGTAAGTATTCTATTATAGTAGCAGGTAGCAGCTTACTTAGTTTGTAAAAATGTTAGTTTTGAGAGAAAAAAGTTAATTTTTGAATAATTTTCGAACCAAAATAATTAGGGAGATGTAGTTTTAACGTTTCTACTTTTAATTTAATTAATGATGGAAAATTTAAAAATATACAGAATGCATCTACGAATAATGAGTATCTAGATTATCTGACCACAACGTACTGGTAGTGAGCGATTAAACGACGACCACAACGAACAAAATTATTCAGATCATCGAGAAATATAATGTACAGTTACAATAATATACACCGTGATGTCTGGAAGAAATTTCGTAAAAATCTGATCCAAGTTTGCCACATTTTAATATGGGTTTTGCATTCTTACAGTAAGATGAGAAGTGACCCCAACTTTTTTCCAAATAAAATATCATCACCTATTTTATGCCCCACTATATTAATAATAGTTAAATTGGTAGCAATTATCGCACAAGACCACTAATTATACGTACTACAGCAAAATATTCTTAAACAAAATAAAAGAGACAAAATATTTTTTACTACAGAAAATTGCAGTTTTTATCCCGGGAGGGACTCTCTGGGAAACATATTATATTAAACCTATGACAGATTTAGAAAGAAAATTTAACATCGCAACATATATTTGCTTCACTTATTTTAGTAAAACCGTTGATCTAGTGAACTGTTAGAAGATGTATAGATTCTATCTGAAATGAGAGTGCTGCGTCAGTCGTCTTATATAATAGATACAAATTATGTAGAATAAAAACTATTCCAGAGCTAGAGTATATGAAGAACTAACTGCAAGTTTCAAAGTCACCAAAAGGTGTGAGATAAGGATATATACTGAGTCCCATTTTGTTCAATATATTCCTATTTGGCAAATGGATAATGCGGAGGGGCATTTAAAGTTGGAACGGCGGCATTAGAATGGACTGAAGAAAGATATGTAACTTTAGATATTCAGATGATAAAATATTAGAAATTTTTGGAAGAATCCATAGAACGGAAGATTGTGCAAGTGACGGTAGTTAAATGGAGAAACAACAAGGATCATGATAATAGACAAACCTGACAGCCAGTCGTCGTCTATAAGAAATTATTAATATCACGTCGTTAACTAATTTGTATACTTAAATATATAAATACCTAAATATAGAAATAAAGTGATTCTAAACTTAGTATGGCTAAATTACGCTAAATTAATGAAAATTAAAAGCAATTAAGCTTTTTATCCTTTTTGATGTCTCCTTCAAGGCTTTCGACGTCTCAGTCTCCCAAGACCCCAGACACTAGTACACTGATAATTTTTCGACTGTTCTAACAACCATTCAAATTTCGTCATTTTGTGTCATGTGGAACAATTTCACCCAATCATGTCAACATTAGACTGATAATTGCATTCAGTGCAATTTTCAATCCCTATGACAACACGATCGAGTTTGACAACTTCATCCAAATAAATTTCAAAATGTCACGTTTCGGTAATGAGAATGTTCAAAGTATAAATTACTGGTCATGGCAATCAGAATTCTATAAAACCATACTTGAATCTCGATCAAGAACACCACAACAAGATTATAAATATTATGCGTGGTAATAGATCTTCTATAGTAGAGAACAGCAACGAATCTAATATTAACTTAAATTTTAATAATTGTACTTTCACTAACTGTACTTTTAATAAATAAATGTTTCGTTATGATTTTTTTTTTCGAAAAATTATCCGCCGAATATCCCTCGTACATTGATGAATGCCTCATAATTTCATGACAAATTTCTCAAGCTCGTTGCTTGGTAACAGCACTCAGCCTTCGGCTTCGTGCTGTTACCAAGGAACGACCTTTCGATTGTCATGAAATTATCTCGTCTGTTATCAATGTCCTAGGGATATTACTACTGATAACGAATCAATGCATTACTGCTACTGGGAACAGAGGACGATTAATTTATACCGTAGATGGTGACGTGGTTTGGGTGGAGAATGGCGTGGGAATTGACGCGAACATTTCTGACAGTAGGATTTTGATTGACGGGTGAAGCGGACGATATTTTATTTATGAGAGGTCTCCATGTCAAAGGTAACCGTATACCATCAGCTCTTTTATTGAGACAATTTGGCCTTTTTTCAATTTCTATGGCTTCTCGGATAATTCTTGGTTTATAGAAGCGAATGGGAGCTATGGTTCTGGAGTTTTCAAAATCAATTTTGTGACCTGTATGAAGATGGTGACAGTGACAGAAAGACAATATTTAGTCTGGGGGCTCGGTAGACTGAGACCTCGGAAGCACTGAAGAAGACATCAAAGAGGATGTCGAAAGTTCGGCGCAATGATAATCGACGCGGTTCGACCCGGAAAACTGTTGAGTTTAATATTAATTCTTGTAATAGTATTAATCTTAGCTCTAGATTTAATTGTACTAACCTCGGGAATCTTTAGGAATTCATGAAATGTCTAGTGAAGTTTGGACCATATATATATATAATATATATATATATATATATATATATATATATATATATATATATATATATATATATATATATATATATATATATATATATATATATACAGGGTGTTTCAAAAAAAGGTAACCCCGTCTATATGGTAGGTAAAAAACTGAAAAATAATTGAGGTTTGCTTAGTAAAAAATTTTTGTAACGCCATCCGTTTTCAAGATACAGGGCGTTGAAGAAAAAAAAAATTTACGCATTTTTTACGATTTTGCCGAAACTACTGGCAACATTGTAATGAAATTTTATACGAATATGTTTTGGAAGCTGATACATCCCATGAATTTGTTTTTATATCTGATTCTCATAGAGGGCGCTAGTTACACGGATCGTACTAAATATTAGTCAATATAACTTTTTTAAGAGTATAATTATTAATCAAAATTTCAAGTAAACTTAAACATCATTCAATTTTACACGAAAAAGGTACTCTTGGTAAAACTCGATACTGTGTACCGTTTTCGGAATATTTTGATTTGAAAATTATGAAGTAATAATTGATGCTGGTATAAAATAGTTAGTAATTAAACAAAACTTACAAGAAGAAAATTAAATTATTGACTAAGAACATAAAATAAAATTCAATTACAGTAAGTGTTCAAAATGCCCTCTGTTTTCGCGAATACACAAGTCTATTCTTTTTTCTAAAGATTCCATTAACCTTAATATATTATAATATTTAGCAACAAAGAACATCAAAACTATTTCATCTTTATATTCCATAGCAACAAAGAACATCAAAACTATTTCATCTTTATATTCCAAAACTAAATATCCTATAGACAAATTAGATCAAACAAATGTAGTATACAGCATTGTTTGTACTCAGTGTGAAGCTGAGTATATTGGTGAGACTGGAAGAAATCTCTCAAATCGCATTATTTCTCACAAGAGTGATTGTAGAATTAAGAAACCATCTTGTGCTTTGGCAGAGCATGTAATAGACAAAGACCATATTATGGATTTTGATAATATTAAAATTTTATGTAATGAAAGTAATAAATTTAAAAGAACTTTTTTGGAAATGGTTTGTATTAGCAAAAGTGATAATAATTTAAACAAAAGGTCAGAAATTCAAAATTTAAGCAAAATTTATAATTATATAATTTCTATTTAATTTATGCAGTCAGTAAAATATGACATTTTGAATTTTCCATGTATTTGTTACATTTTTTCGGGCATCTATCAATGGTGAATAAATCTTCTTCTTTTTTTGTTACTAAACAAAGAAGAATTTTTTAAACAAAATTTTATTTTTGACAATATGTCAAAAATAAAAATTTTTAAGTTAGTATTTATGACATTTTAGGCTGGTTGTAGCTATTCTATTTTTGTTTATAAATTCAATTTTTTTCTTAAGAAACTTCATCTAAATTTTTCAGAGAAACATTTATTAGAATAAGACATTTTTTTATTAATATTTTTTGTGTTTATTATGTAAGCAGTAGTTTTATATAAAAAACTAATTTTATTTGGTGAGTTAACAAAAAATTTTTTATTTCTAGTTCAACTTTGTAAGACATTTTGTATTTTTTAGAAGCTCTTGATAAAAATTGTAATCACAATTGAAAGCTCGAGTAAAAAATAGTCAACAAATAGCCCCTTTTATTGACTCCAACCCATCAAAAACAGTGCTATATATATATACAAGGTGGTCCAGAATTATGTACATTAATTTCTAGAGCTGATAGTACGTCCAAAAATAAGGGTACTTCTTTATGTACACTTTTTTATAAAACTGAATAATAAGGGAGATACAACTCTTTAAAGGGGTGAATTGAAATTCTTATTTTTTCAAATATCTTCCAAACGGTTTTGAATACGGAGTTCATATTTTGGGAGTGATTATAAGACATTAGGATAATTAATTTCATGTCACCACCTACCACATCCTATATTAATACAGGGTAGTTTTGGAGGGTAAGTGGGGGTTATTTTGTCACATGTTTTTTAATTTTTACATATTTTAAAAAAATATTTTAAAAATTGTTTCCTTAGACTTTTCTACGCAAAAAAAGGTGCTCTTGTAATATTTCGATAGATATCACCGTTTTCGATTTATTTAAACTCGAAGGTATGCATGTATTTTATTGTAATCGTTACATTTCTTAATATTCATCAAGTATGCTTTGGAATTGACACTTGTGTTAGCAATATTATTACAAATTAATGGAAAACTTAATTAATACTTAATATTTAATTAAAGGCGAAAACAATATTTCACAACAACTGTTCAAAATGTCCTCCATTTTGTTGAATACATAATCTAATTCTTTTATTTACCGAACACATTAATCCATTTAATGTTACTGGATCGTTTTGTAAATCGGTACATACTTGTTCAATTTTGTCTCTTAACTCATTTACTGTATTAATTGGAGTGTTATACAATTTTGATTTCAAATAACTCCATACTGTAAAATCCATTGGATTACGATTATAACTACGAGCAGGCCAATGAATCGGTGCATCCGCACCCCGGCCTATCCACCTATCAGGGAAATGTTCATGTAACCACCTTCTACAAATAAAATATTGTCTATAAGATTGTAATACACGTTACCATTTAAGTTTCCGGGAAAGATGTGGTATCCTATGAAACTATTTCCTAAAGTAGCTGCCCAAACGTTTATCTTGAACGTATGTTGGAAGTGAGTTTCCATTGAAGCCCTTGGATTTTCTTCAGCCCAGAAGTGCATATTTCTAGAATTGAACATACCTTGTCTTGTAAATGTGGCCTCGTCTGTAAACAGAATGTTGCTTAAAAATTGGGTGCAGTTTGAACTTTATTTTGCAATACTTCACAAAAATCAACTCTACGTGGCATATCGTCAGGTAACAATTCCTGCATCTATCGATAGTGGTAAGGATGTAATTGCTCTTCATGCAGAACTCTTAAAACACTTTGATGGGAAATATTCGTTCTTAATCCTAACCTGCGTGTACTTATTGTGGGGTCATTTATTACAGCATCCAATATTTGCTGTTCAACGCGAAAATTTCTTGCTTCTCTACGACGACCAGCATCTGTATTCCTTCTTTGAAGACAACCGGTTTCTCTCAGTCGTCGTTCAGTACTTACAAAAGTCCTGGCATTGGGAATATTTCTGTTCGGATACTTTTCTCTGTAGCGTCTTACAGCGGCAGTAGCATTTCCCGAACATTCCTCTAATACTAAAAGTATGTCTGTCATCTCACAGTTTGAATAGTGTGCCATATTGCGGCAAACAAATTTAAAAATATAGCAAAAGAGACGTGTTAACCAAATTTCACTGTCGAGTACAATAAAAGTGTAGATAAAATAATTTAATTGTTATTAAACGTCACTGACAATTCATAGACTACTTGAGATTAAAGTGTTGTTGCTAACACAAGTGTCAATTTCAAAGCATACTTGATGAATATTAAGAAATGTAACGATTACAATAAAATACATGTATACCTTCGAGTCTAAATAAATCGAAAACGGTGATATCTATCGAAATATTACAAGAGCACCTTTTTGGCGTAGAAAAGTGTGAGGAAACAATTTTTAAAATATTTTTTTAAAATATGTAAAAATTAAAAAACATGTGACGCAATAACCCCCACTTACCCTCCAAAACTACCCTGTATTAATATAGGATGTGGTAGGTGGTGACATGAAATTAATTATCCTAATGTCTTATAATCACTCCCAAAATATGAACTCCGTATTCAAAACCGTTTGGAAGATATTTGAAAAAATAAGAATTTAAATTCACTCCTATAAAGGGTTGTATCTCCGTTATTATTCAGTTTTATAAAAAAGTGTACATATAGAAGTACCCTTATTTTTGGACGTACTATGAGCTCTAGAAATTAATGTACATAATTCTGGACCACCTTGTATATATATATATATATCTGAATTTTCGATATCATCTTGAATGATCTAGAACTACTTCTTTTTCGCTGTCCTGCTCCATAGAAATAAATGATTCCGTGCCCATTTGAAATTACGAATTTTTTTTTTGTGGCTCTATATTAATATGTCTTTATTTTTAGCTAGAGGATCTAAGAGAAAGTTGGTCGATAACGAAATGACCACCAACGAACAGACCAATAACACAACCGACAAAAATAATACATAAAGTAAGAAAAAAGAAGAATATTCATATAATTGATTACGCAGTTGGGAAAAAAGGTGGAAAAAATATAAAGTGACTAGTTAAACCAATGATTAAAGAAGACACATATGTACAAAATAGGTTTGAACACTAGAATCTGTTTAAATATTGTATATCGTGCATGTGTCATGACTTCTTTGGCATATCGCGATTTTTGATAATTTTAGTGATTCAACCTATAGGCTGTGACGTTCGCTATTTTTTAAGTATTCTAAATTTAAATAATATTACGTGTAGTCGAACCGCTGAGAAAATTTCCATGCGACACGGACATGCATTATTTCTTGTCTAAAGTCCGTTGCACGTCATTAGTGAGATTTTTTTATTCAATTTACAGAAAATCATTTGTTTGTTATTCAAAACTAATAATTTACATTATATAGCATTATCATGTTGACTGCCAAGCTGATTTAATACTATTTGCAATTATGTATTTGTGAACCATATTGGTACACAGCACTATTTGCCAACGGCACGTGTACCTATATGGTGCACAGCATGCTGATGTAGTCAAGTCAATCATTGTATGTACCTGTACAGATGCACAAGCTAAATATTTTATATGAAAATTTTAATCAGGTGGCCTCCTAGACCAATTTTGGAAATATAGCCTATTATTTTTTGGCAAGGATGTTTTAAAGTAATACACTATTTTAAGCGAAAAGAAAAATAGTTTATTCATCAAATAACAACACATCAAAAATACGAATTAATGCAATTTAAAGAAACAATCAGTGCAAAAGTATTTAAAACAAAACGTGTCCACTTTTTTAGAAGTTTATTGTGCTTCTTTTAGTCCCTCTTTCTTCGCGACTTCCTTATAGCAATTTTGGCATCTTCCTCTTTTGTTTGTCTTTTGTAAAATGTGATGATTTATATTTTCGGAACTTTCTGCTTGCTTTTTTATTAGAAGACTTTTCACGAACTCTTCTTTAAATTCTTTCATTTTAATTTTTTTGTTTGTTGTTACTGATTTATACATATATATTCTGTTTACTATAGCTGTATTTAGAATAATCTCGAATGCAAATTTTCGATACCATTACAGATCTTCTTAAAGCTCGATGGTGGGATGCCATCTGGTAGATAAATCAATAGCAGATTTGGGTTGAGTTTACCGAAAGTACAAGCTGAATATAGCCGCAAATGTCAAAAATATTTGGGTTTGGCAGTGTTGGGATGTTTTTATAATGCATATTTTGTATGCTTCAAATATAAAAAGAGAAAGCTTTTAAAAAGTATATTTTGACTATACTCCGTCATACGATTGGATCGTTATGAACTAGCGGGATTCGGTCGTTCAATACTATGAAGTGATTGAATCAAAACAAACGAATCAATCGCGAGATTGATACAACACTACCAACGTCATACGATCATATCACACACCTTTTCTATGTAGCAACTTTTTTGTCAATATCAAACAAAAGCATTAGACTATAAACGGTATTTCGATTTTTATATTTTTTTTATAATAATTGTTTTGTAGATAGCTCTCAGTGGTTTAACTATGTAGATATTAACTTATGTATGCTAAATTTTCTTTCTTTTTGACTTTGTGAATATTTTTGTCTTAAGTTCTGTCACAACAAACTTTTATTTTTTGCGTTTTTCTTTTCACTTGTTACTTGTCAAAAAGGGAGGCAATGCAGGTCTATAAGTGTAAAATGGAGTATTAATCGTTTTATTGTTTATTCTTTGCTTTATTATTACTGTCTGTTTGAACTATTGTCAATTTAAACTATTATTTACTTAATGCTAATAATTAATATACAATAAACTAAAGATTTATTTTATCTTTTTACCTATCAATTGTATTGAGCATATTTTATTATTATATTGTTATAATAAAATTAATAATATTCTATTGTAGTTTTATTTAACATACATTAACATATTTAACATAGTTTGAGATCAAATCCAATTAATGCAGTGTTTACTTACTGTTTAATTAAGTGGGCATTAAACAGTAATGGGCGTAATGAGAAAGCAAGTAAGGGATTCAATATCTTCATCAATCTTTTTGCCTTTATTCCTATGCGGTATCGGTATCTCTGATTACATTTCTCCATAAGTTTCTATCTTGCGTCATATCAATATTAATACCCTTTACTGACATGTCCCGACTAAGCGTATCCCACAGGTCTTTTTGCTCTTCCTCTCCTATCATATATATATATATATATATATATATATATATATATATATATAATATATATATATATATATATATATATATATATATATATATATATATACACAGGGTGGTGAATCGTCAAACGGTCCATAGGAAATTCAATGGGAAATTCTAAGTTGTTGAATTCCTGCTTCCCTAATTATTTTACAACAAAATTCATAGGAAACTATTTGTAAAGAACTAAAATATGTATTAAAAACAAATGTTAAAATCGTTCTACGAATTAAATCTATCCCAAAATTTTGTAAAAATATAAAACATTTTTTAGGCCCACCCCTTAAAGTCAGACCACACAAGGTACAAGAATGTGTATGAGATGTTGCGTTTGGTCGTATTTATGTTTCTAATATTTGACATTATTTGAATTGCCAAAATTTTAATTTAGTGATTTATTGTTTAAAAAACAACATAGTTTATTAAAAAATGTATTCAGTCGAGGAGAAAGTAGCAATAATAAAAATGTTTTATTCTGGCAATAGTGCGCGAATTGTCAGTTCTTTATTTAGCGTAAGATATCCCAATAGACCAATTCCAAGTCACTCAACAATTCTAAGGATTTTAGAAAAGTTTGAAAATACTGGGACCGTGATTTCTAATTGTACCTGTACAAACAATATTGCTGAAGTACCAAAAAATTTAGAAAATCAAAATGAAATAAATGTATTAACAGCAGTTGTAGAAAATCCTAGAATAAGTTCTCGGACCATTACAGATCAGTTAAATATTCATAACTCTACGGCTTTAAAAATTTTGAAAAGGAATAAATTCCGTTCTTATAAATTCCAATGTCATCAAGAACTAAGAGAAGGAGATGCTGAAAGACGAGCGGAATTTTGTTATGAAATGTTAGAGAGGGCTAATGCAGACAGACAATTTTTAAAAAACATTTTGTTTAGTGATGAATGTACATTTACATTAAATAATGAACCAAATGTTCAAAATTATAGGATTTGATCGACAAAAAAGCCTGAGAATATTATTGAAAGCCATACCCAATATCGTCGAAAAATAAGTGTCTGGTTAGGAATATTTAGACACAATATTATTGGACCATTTTTCTATGAGGAAAATTTAAATTCAAAAAAGTTTTTAGACTTGCTACAAGAAGAAATTTTACATAGACTTGCAGAATTAGTTCCAGATGAAGAAAAAATTTGGTTTCAAATGGATGGCTGTCCTGCGCATAATAACTGGGAGGTTAAGGAATTCCTTAAAAACAGCTTTAATAATTGTTTGATTGGACCTGACTGTAATATTAAGTGGCCTCCGAGATCGGGAGATCTAACTCCAAACGATTATTTTATCTGGGGGCATTTAAAATCAAAAATCTATTCTGACCAAAAATTTACAGATATTGAAACTTTAAAAAGGCGAATTATTGAAGAGTGTGCAAAAATAACGTCACGCATTCTGGCTAATGTTAGACGAGAATTTTACAATTGAGTGGGATACTGCTTAGTACAAAATGGCTTATTGTTTGAACATTTGTTATAGTTTTATGTTGAAATTATCACAAATTATATAAATTATTATTAGGAAGGATCACAGTAAAACTATATAGAAATTATTTGATTGTTGTATAACCTGGAATTGAAATGGAGTGTATTATGATATCTTGTGTTAAATAAAGATCTTGCAGTGCTCGCACTATTGCCTTATTGCGATTTTTCGTGAACTGATTACATTTCATCAATTTTATTGCTTTGTAAACAGTATAATTTATTGTTTACAAAGTACTAGTTACTGTTCACTAGTAGTAGTATTTGTGAAAACTTATGCATTTTAGTATTTGTGTATGATTTAATCACAAATTAAAAATATTGACAATTCAAATAATGTCAAATAGTAAAAACATAAATATGACCAAACGCAACACGTCATACACATTCTTGTACCTTGTGTGGCCTGACTTTAAGGGGTGACCTAAAAAATGTATTATATTTTTACAAAATTTTGGGATACATTTAATTCGTAGAACAATTTTAACATTTGTTTTTAATACATATTTTAGTTCTTTACAAATAGTTTCCTATGAATTTTGATGTAAAATAATTAGGGAAGCAGGAATTTAACAATTTAGAATTTTCCATTGAATTTCCTATGGACCGTTTGGCGTTTCACCACCCGGTATATATATATATATATATATATATATATATATATATATATATATATATATATATATATATATATATATATAATCTGAATTAAAAACAAATGTTAAAACCGTTCTACGAATCAAATGTACTTCAAAATTTTGCAAAAATATAATACATTTTTCAGGCCACCCCTAAAAGTTAGGTCACACGTAATGCAAGAATATATATTATGACGTGTGTTTTATCACGTTGATGTCAGATGTTTGACCATTTGAATTGTCAATTTTTTATTTTATCATTAAATTATAAACAATGAATTTTACTAAATACTACTACTACTGAACAATATTACTTTGTGAACAATAAATTATATTGTTTACAGATCGATCAATATAATGAAATGTACTCAGTTGACGAAAAATCGCATAATGTTGTATTCAGGCAATAGCGCGTACCTTTTCCTGCCATTACCGAATCTTTATTTAACGTAAGATATTCTAATACACTAAATTTTAATTCCATGTTAAGTTATACAACAATTCAATGAATTCCAATTTACTGTTACTGTGATCTTTATTCCTAATAATAATATATGATAATTTCTAAACATAAAACTAGAACAAATGTTATAATAAAACACGAATAAAACATTTTTATTATTGCTCCTTTCTCCTCAACTGAGTACATTTTTAACTCAACTTAATTTTTTTTAACAATAAATCACAAAATTTTGGCCATTTAAATCATAGATAAATACAATATAGTTGATTTAAATATTGTCAAATATCAGAAACATCAATATGACAAAACGCAACACGTAATACACATTTTTTCACGGCGTCTGGCCTGACTTTTAGGGGTGGCCTGAAAAATGTATTATATTTTAGCAAAATTTTGGAATACGTTCAAGTCGTAGAACAATTTTAACAGTTGTTTTCGATACATATTCGAGTCCTCTACAAATAGTTTCCCATGACTTTTGGTGTAAAATAATTAGGGAAGCAGGAATTCAACAATTTAGAATTTCCCATTGAGTTTCCTATGGCCCGTTTGACGATTCACCACCCTGTATATATGTTCGGATAAATTTCTGCGGTCAGATGAATGAAAATCACTAGGTTCTCGAGAAGAACCGCGTTGAGAATTTAATGCTCGACGTTTCGGCTCCAATTTTGGAGCCATTATCAAGAGTGATACGGTTCGAGTTCGGGTTCTCAATCTGCCTACTCCCCTCACTCGAGACGTACCAGTATCGTATTCTGTATAATAAATACAAGAACTGTCTCTCGGCACTGAGGTCTCAATCTGCCTACTCCTCAGTCCCTCGACACTGCATTCAAGGCAGCATTATTAAGCAAAATTCCCGCTGCAAATATTTGGTGTAATTAAAAGAAACACAATTAGTATATACACAAGTATTTATATATATATATATATATATATATATATATATATATATATATAAATTTACAATCACAGATAAGAAGTTTACATATTATTATATTTTGTTAGAAACTATTAACTTCTTAATACATCAAGTTCTTCAGGTGTAACATGGAGCCTAAGTTGTTTTTCAATAAACAAATCTTGTATTTGTGACAATTCAGCTGGAATATAGATGGCAGCATCCATATATAAAGCCTGAAAAATGCGCATTTTTAGCAAAAATTTCACTCTATAAACTAAAAAACCTAACTACACTTTTGGTTGTCATAATATATCTTATATTATTGTAGCAAACTCTTCATATATGTACTAAATCGACATTTAAGAATTTATAGTATCGAATATGAGTGGAATAGCAATTATTCTAAAAAAGATTTACAAGAGGGAAGGTCCAGTAGCAACAATTAATGGAAAACTTGGTAAATAATCTGTACGTTGAAGAACTAACATAAAATAGATAAATTAAATACTCTAAATAAATAATAAAAAAAATAAACAGTATTACCAAACAGAAAAAATACTTTACGAATTGAAAAGAGAAATCTTAAAAAATAAAACTCACACTGTTACTATGAATCTGAATTTAAAACCTCAAAAAAATCGTGTAAAATCTAGTATTGTCATTATAAAGAAGTATTTTTAATAGTATGAGCATATGAGCAACCATGTTAAAAAATAATACACAGAGAAATAAGTTTTATCCTAGCTTCATGAATTTTACTGAAGTAAAGGATGTTTTTTTTTAGAGATAGAGAAATATAAGTTAGCAACACTTTTTTAATTGGCGGGAATTTTAAGAGCTGTCAAGCGATTAATGTTTGGTTTAGCATTTCAGCATAAATAGACTAACTTTTGAACAACGCTTCCAAATTGTGCAAATTTATTTTGAAAATTGTGATTCTGTTCGAAATACATATCTCACACTACGTCAATTTTATGGTCAACATAATGGTCCGTCAGAGCAATTAATTCGATTAACCATGCGCACAACGTTTACTACTAATGATAATACGCATCCACAGAGATGTTGTACAGTGCGTACAGAAGAAGTTATCACTGATGTAGAGCGTAGCATAGAAGAAGACACGAATCGATGTATTCTCCATCGTGCGCAGCAGTTGGATATGTGTCCATCCACTTTATCGAAGATTTTGCGCAAAGATCTTGGTTTGCGTATTTACAAAATCCAACTCATGCAAGAATTAAAGCTACACGTTCACTTAGCAAGGCGTAGATTATGTGAATGGGCTCAAAACGGGATTGCCGTTGATCCTGATTTTCATAAGCGAATAACAAAACTGCCGTATTTGAAGTGAAAATAATCATCAAGTATATGTTGAGACACTATTACATCCAGAAAAACTGACTGGTTTGTTTTGTGTGCTGGTGGAAGCACTGTTTCGTACTTCTTCAAAACGGTGCTGACCAGAACGTTACAGTCAATGGACATCGCCATAGAGCCATGATTACTGAATTTTTTATTCCTCATTTGAACAATACGTTAAGAAAAAGGAACAATTTTTTTTTATATATCGGCGAGAGCCGTAGTATTGTTAACAAACATAGTTAATGCAATTTTGGGATACAGGAAATTCCCAAATAGATGGAAAGAGGCCCACGTCATCATGATTCCAAAACCAGGCAAAGACAGTAAGTTCCCACAAAACTACAGGCCAATAAGCCGTCTTCCAGCAATTAGAAAAATTGTGGAAAGAGTCATTCTCAGCAGACTTCACGCCGAAACGGACAGGCTTGAAATAATCCCAGAAACACAGTTTGGCTTCAGCGCTGACCACTCCAGCGAGCTACAAGTACTCAGATTAACACACTACATAGCAGCTGAATTTAACGACAAGCAGTACACAGGAGTAGCCTTCCTGGATGTAAACAAAGCCTTCGACAGAGTCTGGCATAAAGGATTGATATACAAAATTAGAGGATATGGCTACAGCGGAGCAATGACGAGACTAATCTCTTCCTATTTGAGCAACCTAAGCTTCAGAGTTCGAATAGGACAAGTCCTGTCCAAACTCGGAGGCTGGAGTGCCACATGGAGCGGTTCTGTCACCACTGCTGTCCTCAATATTTACCGGAGGCATTCCCACAATAGCAGGAACACTATTAAGCCTTTATGCCGACGAAACTGCAATAACGGCCAAGCCAAGCATAGCAGTTAACAACCTGCAAGCAGCGTTGGACGAAATCGAGGAATACCAGATAAAAAATCGCCTAAACTCCGATAAAACGCAAGTGGTACTATTCAAAAAGAGATTTCAGCAGAAAGAGAAACAACTTACTGTCTAGAACAATTCCATCGAGCGGAAAAGCGAGGCAAAATTCCATTATGGATACAGGACTTCTATTCAAAATACACGTAGACGACACAGTGCAAAAAAACCAACATGGCTAAAGCATCCATCAGAGGACTCACACACAGGTAGAAAAAGCAAACTGAGGACTAAAACCAAAATGAGTTTAATAATGGCCCCACGAGAACTGCCTAAGGAAAGCTGTCAACATCCCAAGATATGTAGCAGAACGCTTCATATTCAGGGAACTACAACAGGTCAGGGTGACGAAAATAATGAAGGATGAAGAATAGAGCCAGGACAAAATTCGCAGAACTGGAAAACCACCCTAGTCCCATACTGCGAAAGATTATGAGATACGACGCTTTCCATCGATGGAAACATAAAAGGCCTAAACAACAAATAGCGAAATAAATAAAGAAACCAAATAAAAGTGAAGTCAAATAAAATAAAAAATAATGAGCTAAAATAAAATAAATACGGGAGAGAAAATCAAACAAGGACATAAACAAAATCACCAGAAAAAAAAAAACAAAAACCCAAGAGAGAAAGTAAAAGCCCCAGAGAGAAAAATAAACAAACCATCAGAGGATAGTTCGTAGCTATAATTATTCAACAAACACTGCAAATCGCCGCAATGTGTGCGGCTGCAAAAAAAAAACAAAAAATATAAAAAACGATCTAGAAAAATTAACAAAACACTAATAAAAACCCGGCGAAAGCCAACAAAAAAAAAATAAACAAAAAACCCGGGAAGGTAGGGCCCAAACACTTGAGCACCAAGTCTCCGAACCGGACGTAGCGGAGCAGAAGCTGAAGGTCCAAGCAAGCAATTTTAGATTCGCGTAAAAGTCACTAGAGGACTACTGACCTGAATTTGAATCGGTTAGGGAACCATGTTGGAGTTCTATTAGGCCCGGCGCAAATTGAGCACATTCCACGCGTGGGTTATTTTGTAAAACGTGGTTTTAGACGCAGCGACGCATATTAAACCCAAACCACGGCCAGGCCACTGCCAGACTTAGTTGGCGTGGATAGAGTTGTGCTAGCAACACAGTTTCGTGGGTCGTGGGTCTCTACCTAACCTTAGTTATTTTGTTTTGTGTGACCAATTTTTTGTTATTCGGTGAAAATGGAAAAGTTTATTGAAATTGTTCGAAGCTTTAGTGTCTTGTATGATACTAGTAATGAAGATTACATGAGAACAAAACTAATATTTTCTTTATTTGTGCTAAGCGACTCGGATGTAAGGCGCCGTTATAATTATTCAAAAAAAAAATAATTTAAATTAATTTTTTATTAAATCAAATGAGAAATATAACAAATCGAGAACTAAGGAAAAAAAACAAATTTTCATTTCCTAGCAAAATGTTTATGAACACCTAAGATGAAAACTTCAAAATATGCTAATTAGTAATTAGAAAGTCAATATCGACAAAACCAGCTTATTCAAATTATGAATATCTCCCTGTTATAGTCTTTTGTTGAAGGATTTCAATTTATTACCCTGATCATATGAAAAAGTTCTCAAGAAATTGATATCAGGTTCAGTCTTCAATGAAACAAAAATCTAATCTTTAACAGAATTTTTACCATGTAAAATATCTGCTTATTATGCTAATTAGTAATAAGAAAGTCAAATCGGCAAAAGCAGCTTATTCAAATTATATTTATAGTCTTTTGTTGAAGGATTTCAATTTTTTACCCTTAGCATTTGTGAAAGTTTTCAAGATATTTATATTTTCAGATTAGAAATTGTTAGTGGGATATTAGGTAAAAATTAAAAGGTCTAGAAAATAAAATCTTTATTTAAACTAATATACTGAAGTCTATCTTTTCGTTGAATGGTATTTGCGAAAACAATCTCCTATGCATAGTCCAGGTTTTTCGTCACAATCAGCACACTTGTAAATTGTGTTTTTCCTAATTTTATGGATAGAACATATTCTACACAAATATTTGACATGGGCGTGGGCTGTGTTCAATATGCGTTGTATTGTATTGAAAAACGTGTACTTGGACTAGGTTGGACCATACGTGGGCTGCGCGTGGGCTGTGCTCAATTTGCGACGGGCCTTACTCAGGACTCCCACATGAAGAGAATTTGGCTGATAGTTGTGACCCTATCGCGTCAGTGGCGCACCTAGAATTTTCCTGTGGGGGGTCATTTTGGTTGGACACCGAAATTTTTTTATGCTACCTCTGTTTTGAGTCCCTAAAAATTGTTAGAAGGTAACAGTGTCGGAATAGTGCCCGGGGGGGAGGGGGGGGGTACACCTTAAAACCCCCCTGGGTGCGCCACTGTATCGTGCATCAGAGTGTTATACGGGGAAAGGGATAGTCTGAAGCATTGGAGCGGAGTGGAGTAACTCCTGTTTTACTCGAGTTAATACACCTCGCTCAGGGATGAACATGTCTCACAGGCTGAGTTTAATTAAATTGCTTGCTTGCTATTAAAAAAGGTTGTATAAATATTTTTACTTACTTTCAGCCAAGGACATTCTTCTACAGCGCAATAATAAACTTTTCTGCATATATCTGGACTAAAGTAAGTATAAACAAACTGTAAGTATAATCGCCATATCAAACCGCACTTTCTAGTATTAGAAGCTGTAGTGACGTTCTTAAATAACGACAACATTTTGTTCTTTAAACTAGTACTGATCTCATATTTAGTTCCTAAAAATTAAACTTTATGAATTATTTGCTTTATTTTAAATAAAAATATGAAGTGATAGGGTTTGTTAGACTACTTGTTAGTTATTATTTGTTACAGTATTCTTGTATACAAGCATTAGTAAATGTATAGATTCACATCGTTGACTGTTAATGGAGAGGAATACTAATATACTTTAATTTAATTTATAAATATATCTTCTTCTTCATGTGCTATATCAGAGTTATCCGGTGTTGGCGTTCACCGTTGCAAAGGCTTCTAAATCTTCAGTCACATCGAACAATTATTCTGCATTTCATATTTGGGTCAATTCACGAATGTTTTTTAACCACAAACCTGTTTTCTTCCTACACATCTACGGCCTTCTATTTTGCCTTTAAGGATCAGTTGTAATATTCTATATTGATATCCCTTCACTATATATCCCAGATAAGACACTTTCCGGTGTTTAACAGTCTTTAGCAATTCTCTATCTTTGTTGAGCCTCCTTAGTATTTCCTCATTAGTTTTTGTTGTTGTCCAATGTGTCTTGAGCATCCGTCTATGAATCTACATTTCCAATGTTTCAATTCTGTTCATACTTGATACTTTTGGTGTTTACACTTCTGCTCCATACAAAAGTACAGACCAAATATAGCACTTAACTATTCTTTGTCTTGTCTTGTTCTAAACTAAGATGATTATTGCAAAGAAATGTCTTGATTTTCATAAAAGTTGTTTTAGTAATTGCTATTCTTCGTTTTATTTCTATGTCTGGATCTAGTTGGTCCGTTATGACACTTCCCAAATATGTAATTGTGTAAAATTTTCAACTTGGACTCCATTTAATTGAAGCTCTGCATCTGGATGTGGGTTACGACTAAAGACTTAAAATTTGGTTTTGTTTGACTTAACTTTAATTCCCGTTTCCTCTTCTACTTCGTGAATACGATCAAGCATAATTTGGAGACCTTCAATATTTTCTGACAAAATTACTGTATCGTCCACGTATCTAATCACAATAAGTAGTTGCCCGTTGATTTTGATTTCATATGAAGGGTACACGTCCAAAAGGGGGTAAGTCGAAATTTTTCATAAATAATTGATCTAGTGGTGCCATCTTGTAGCAATTTTAACATAGAAGTGGTCAGCGGGTTGTTACATGCCCTAAAAGCGCCTAGTTCCCGTGAAATGGTAATTATAATTTACGCATACACCGGCAATAGGGGGAAAGTCCTCATCAGACAAGTCCTAAAAGAGTGAAGTCCATATAAACAGCTGATAGACGTTGATCTAATACGAGCAGATAAGAGTTAGATTCGTTGGAAATTTGACCTACGTATTAAATAAGGGTTCACCCCATATGTGGCAATTATGAAAATTATACACACTGTTCCATCATACTTTAGATGGAAATTTAAGTTCTCTGAGGAACTGTCTTGAAGAGAGTCTTGAAACAAACTAGAAAATGTTAATCTTGGTATGGATCGTGATCATGATACTATGACTTCCAAGATAAAACCACTTCGCAATCGAATTTTGTACGTCGATGCGCATGACGTCACTTGGTGATAAAAGTTTATCTTAAGGCTGTTTTATCCAATGACGTATAATATATAGACTACGCAGTCCCCTATTCTCGCTACAGAATCGAGTGTCCGAAAGATCTCGGCTCAAGGTTGAAGGTATGTTTATCAGAACAGCGGCGTGTTCATTTATATTTGAATGACAATAATTATTTTTTTAATTAAAATTAAATATTTATGATTTCTTTTTGTTCCCATCTATAAGAGAAATAATTATTTTGATAAAATAGTATTGCATTTTACTAAAATAGTAAGTAAATAACTCTCAACAATTTAAAATAAAATTTGCTTGTCACACAAAATGGAGAAAATGTTTTCATACGTCCATGATGTTTTCAAACACAAGATCAACTTCGTGATGCTTCGTAAGAAATCATGAACTTCGTGTATCTTCGTATCAAAACAATAAACAATAACAAAGGTATTCATGTTTTGGACACTTTTTAAAGCGTTCACCGAGTCTACATATTATACGTCATTGGTTTTATCGGTGCACCAAAATTTTTTCTCTGTTATTTACCGACGAAATGTCTCGAAATTTGGACATGTTATACGAAATTATGTTGCCTTTAAACTGATGGTTTTACTTTTTTTTATTTTTTTTAATTTTCTGTTGAAAAATTGGATTATACTGTTTAACGTTCTATTATAACCAAACTTTTCACGCCCATCAGTTGAAAGAGTTTTTTTTCTGTAATCGTTGATTCTTTTTTCACCTTTCTGTGTCCAGTAATAATCGAGAAAAGCGTATTCAAACTTTGAAGAGAATTGCTAAAAAATACTGAAATCTAATAGTGAAACGTGTTCCTCATCATTGTCGCTGAGCTTGATCGTTATCGCATTAGTGACGTCAAATCTCATGAACGTACGGTACGGTCTTATTTTTATTTCTCTATGGGTACGGTCAGTTAGTTCGCTTGAATTAGAATCCATTTTAGTTCTTTCATTCTTGTATTTTCTTTATCAATTTGCTTAGTTTTTACAGTTTACAGTATTCTTATTTATTTTGAAATCATTGAAATTATTTAGTTTACGTGTATGTTAAGTAATATATTATTAGTTTAGTGGTATAAGTTAAAAGTTCTTTAGTTTACGCGTATTTTTAAGTATTACATTAGGTTAGTGATATAAGTTATAAGAGACAAGAGCAATTGCACTGCAGTAAGTATTTATTATTTATATTACAACCATTTTTAAAAGCTTTTATTTAACTTTTATATATATATATATATATATATATATATATATATATATATATATATATATATATATCTGACATTCGAAATGTCAGTTTTTTGTATGTGTCAACAAATAATCTTTAATAAATAGTTTGGAGATATCCTTATGTGTACAATTATTGTAATTATTGAACCTCTTAACTTATTTACGTCTAGTAATTTCATTACAGAATGCATACAAATCCCATTTAACTTTAACAAGAATTCAAATTCTACTCTCCAATGACAGCATGCGCGAACACGACCGATTTTGTGATACGGGAAGAGCCTATCTTGTTATTCATAGTATCATGGTTCACTCCATCAAGAATTAGCAGAAACATCTACTTTACCTAGTTGTAGTGTCGATTTGTAAGTAACCCTTTTTACTTTTTTTTTATTTACTTACCGTAAAGTAAGTAAATAGAGGGTTCATGACCTTACATATTATTTGTTTATGGTCAAAATATTACCAATGTTTTATTCTTAAATAATAATAATAACAAATAATATCATTTGCAGAAAATACTTTAAGTTTTATCGTTATTTCTAGTAATAGCTGTCATTCTCAGTCAGTTGAGATTGCCTCTCCGCAAAAACCATCTTTTTCGGTAGAAGGCAGAAGAATAGTGGACATAAACTTTTTCATTAAATCTATTCAAGGTTTGAATAATCATTCTCCATTTTCATGCAACTTTTCTAATATGGAGATTATCAAAGAAAAAATGGACGGATTGATAAGTACATTGACTTTTAAATGTCAAATGTGGAATATTGAAAAGGAGATAGCAACATAGGATTCTGGTAACAATTCACTGAACTTGAATGGTTCTGATTATTCAGACATATAGCAGCAGCCCGCTGCATTAAATATACCTGTGATGTCCTACAAACAGTATGCAAAACATACGGAAACAGTTGCAGATATCATCGGCCAAACACTTTGTGATTCCTTAGAAGAGGCTGGACGGGAGGAATTAGCTTTAGCCAAAGAAATTGGTGAAGTAGATTCCGACGGAAATGGGTTAATAACCGTTATAGCTGATGGTGCTTGGTCAAAAAGATCGTATAAAGTAAACTATTATGCTTCTTCTGGTGTAGTACCTGACGTTGTAAAATTTATTAAATTAGTACGCCTTTGATGGATAGGACATGTAATTAGGCGAGATGAAGATGAAACGATCAGAAAAATTTTCGACTGAAGAGGACCAGTGGGAAAACGATCCAGAGGAAGACCAAAACTTAGGTATCAAGATAACATAGAGGATGATCTAAAATCAATCGGAGTTAAAGCATGGAGAAAGTTGCCAGAGGCAGGGGCGAATGGAAGATTGTTCTGAAGAAGCCTTTGGCTCATGACGAGCTGTAATGCCACTGATGATGATGAAATAACTATCCACGATTTGTGTTTTATTCATCAATTGGATACTTTTCTTATGTAACTGCAACCTATAAATATATTAAAATAATGTATATTCCATTCAGAGAACTTTTTCCTCGCAGTGCGTCGCCTCGAAATACTTGCCAGATAAATACATTTACTATTATGATGGTTTCGCAGGTACCAATTTTTTATAGATAAATAAAAATAGTTTTTGTTTAATTTTTACTACGCTAATATCAGTTTTCTCTAACAAATAAATAACTTCTTGAAATAATTTTCAAGCTATAACTGCGAAATTGTTTATTTGTTTGTGACAACAAATTGTAATTTTTTTGATAATAATATTCTTATGTTATTTTAAATTTATTATAAATAAACACCATGGTGTTTTTTGCAGTCACGTTTCACAAATTTTTATTTTTTTTTTATTTTTTTATTTTTATGTTTAGCTAAGACATATAAATTAAAAATGTGATTAATTCTTTTTAAAACATTATCTACGATAATTAATAAAAAAAAGTATTCCGACAAAACTAATTTGAATGGAGAATAATGCATTTATTGTCATTAAACAACCCGTGGGCCAGCGCCACTGAATAAACATCCAAACTATTAGGAAGTCATGTAGGGTCTGACATAAGCAGTGTAGAAAAGTAAGTGATACGCCCACTTCAAATCGCAGTATGCTATAACTGCGAAAACAGCCTTAATTTAATATTCTGAAATATATTTTATCTAAAAGTGCACACATTTATTTGTCAACGTACTAGACAAACGTTAAAACAATACTAAATCTGACAAAACTCCATGCAAAAAAGAACATTTCTGGTGATATATGTCGCTAAGTGACGTCACACGTGCAAAAGAGATAGACTGATCGCGTGCGCGTGGGTTTATCTTTAGAAATTCATAGTATCATGGATCGTGATGTAGATATAGAAGTTGTTCCCAAAATGTACTATGAACGTTTTTCGACATTCCTACCATTCTAACCACCGTTCGTGTACCTAAATTTAGATTATTTTTTAAAGTATCTAACATGTCATCTTCTGCATTGAATCGACAGATACTTCTTGTTATTCCGCTATTTTTTTTGATACCATTCCGATTTGTTTTTGCATACCAAAATGTATTTTCGTTTTCTCGTCAAAAGGCTGAATTTAGAAAAAAATGTTATAAGCCTTTTTTGCTTTACAAGGTGCCTTATACCATTAATGAACGCACTATTTTCGGGGACACCCTGTATATATCGTAAATTTACATTTATAAACCATTAAAGTGTGCCAGTAAAAAATGTTGTCAAGTTTTCCTACCAATTTTTCAAATTAATTTGAACGGCAAACAAGTTGTAACCTAGATCAGAAATCTTCTGAAAAAGTTATAAGCACAAGTTTACCTGTAATAGTATCCTGAACGACGTTTTGAAATTCTTCGAGTTGTTGATTTACGATGATAAGAGCAAAAAGCGAGGGTAATGCTCTATCTGATTTCAACAGCAACTTTTTTATTTTCCACCATTGCAGACCTAATGAATACTCCAACGAATATTGTTTTTTCAAAACTGATAACACAAACACATTATTCGGATATAGCTCTATAGCCGTTTCCATAGCAGATTCCAACAATTTTACTGTATCAGTTTTGCATTGTTTTCTAGAGTACTTAAATAATAAAGCTATATAAAATTCGTATAAAACTTCTTTTTGCCAAATATCGTGGGTGTCGGAATTTGCCATCTGGTGCAAAATATTCCGAAAAAATTCAAAACACTCGTTGGGGCCCTTGCAAAGTAAAATAAACCAAACGTGGCATATTATCCAATCGGTAAAAAAGTTTGGCAAAAAATGTTCTACACACGCTAGTTTAACTTGTTCAGCTTCCATTAACTGTCGAGTGACTGTGTTAAATTTGTTTGTTGCTTTTTCTTTAATTTCGTCATTCAGTTGCAATTCGTTCTGTTGTAAACTCATTTGACAAAGAAGCTTCAAAGCTTCATTTTCATCACTGCTCGTATTTTTTGCAATGTGCAACTGAACCAGGTGTTTATAAAGATTACACCAATTTTTCTGAGACGTTGAAACATTGCTAACAGTCATCTGAAATCTTTGAGTGAAACTTACAGCCGTATTGATTATTTTAAGACAACTATCCACATTTCCAAATTCAAGTTCAGTTAGCGCATATTCTAGATAAAATATTGCATTCTGCCTATTTTCTTCAAGTTTAAGACACTCCTTGAAATTTTTCTTAATGCGTTTTTTAAATTGCTCGGTCATTGTAAACAACTGAACTTTATCTAAAATAATTAATAATCTTTGAAATTTAAAATACCATAAAGTTATAGCCGTTTTTTCGTCCCCAGTTAGACAGTTTGCAACATTTTCCATAATTTTATTAATAAAACCTAAATATTCTTCATGACCGGGTATTTTATTTAAATACTGTGGTCCTACAGCCAATCGTATATTGCTCCATAGACTTGTTGAAGTATCAACTGGATATAAAGGAAAATACATCGAGAGAAGTGGCTCTACTGAATCAAAACTCCAAGGAACATAATCTAAACCTAGTTCTCCCATTGTACTATGTCTACAAGGCAGTAAAGGTATTTTAAGCAACGAGAATATTGTTGCAGACATTTTAAATATATTGCCTGGCATTGTGATTGGATGAATCAATTGAACTACATCATCAGTAAGTACTATTCGTTGGGGATCTTCACATTTTTCGTCATCCACACTAGGTAGCCAATGACAAGCTTCGCGTAGTTTCTCTGTGCGCAACCACAACTCGTGTAGAGGTAAGTTTGATGCAAAAATAATATCTTCCAATTCCATCAACTGGCTTTCTGCAAACTCTGATAATATATGAAACCTACTACTATTATTTGGGGATAAGTTTAGTTCAAGATACATTCTCAAAAGAGTCCAAAGTTGTTCAAACAAGCCTGCTTGTTTCATAAATAAACCGCACTGATACAGCATTTTCAATATACATTCTTCTAATAAATGTCGTTCCATGATATTCGTTTGCCTCAGTTGATGTAAAGTTGAGAGACATTTGGTATATAAACTTAAAACTTCTGGTGTGGAACAATGGGACATTGAGCACTGTGTGGCTTCTATATATCCTTGCCATAGGATAATGTTACTTTTATCCTTCTCGACTAAATCCCGAAGGTATATCTAAAATAAAAAAAATACTGAATGATCACATACACATTATAATTATGTATATTTACACACAAAAACTACTTCAAGACAATTGTTCTTTGCGCCATTTCAACTGGATTAAATATGCTTTAATATAGAGGTAATATAATATGCAGTAATATAGAGGCTTAACAGGTTGCTAAAAAATACTAATTTAAGCAAAAACAAAAAAACAAACTAACAGTGCCGACATGTGGATCAGAAACATGGACAATATTCAAAACAGATCACCTGCTGGTTTTCAGAAGAAAAATACTAAGAATAATAAGGGGACCATCTTTGAAAATGGTATTTTGACAAAAAGTGTTAGCCACCTACAGCCTTAGTGTATGCAAGTGTTCCTTAACTGGAGCATGTCCAGTAAGTAAGCCTGTCATGACTCTGAGCTGATTCTGGTTTTGTAAACATTCTTAAAGAATCATTTTCTGGCGTGTTTCTTCATTGTGGCATACATCAAAAAGATCTGTGTAAACCTGCTTTAGACATTAAATATTTTCTGATGTACTCTACTGCACATACAATAAGATGGCTCGGGGCAGGACAGGTTTGACTTTGGGATGTAAAAAATGAAGTAATCTCTTCAATGGAAGAAAAAGGAATGAAAAGGAAAGAAACCCATTGGTCTTCTCGATTTGATGCTGTAAAAGCGTTAAAAAGCAATTACGGTTTGATTAAAACATGTTTGATTGAAATGTCAACGGATATTAATGAGAAAAATGTAGTGAGAATTGAAGCAACTTCTCTATCGGAAAAACTTGATTTGTTGGAAAAATGGAATAATTTATCATTCTGGCTTGATGTTTTACAAAGGGTTAATGAGGTGAATATAGCAGTACAAAGGGGAAATATGGATTTAAGCACAACCGCTCATCTGTTATCATCTTTAGCAGATTACTTTGATTTCTTATGTGATCGTTTTGATCACTATGAGGCCTTAGGAATGTTGTTAACAGGAAACGAAAATTATGCTGAGGAGAGGTTTATCAAAAAAAAATGCAATTAGGAGAAAAGAATTCGGAGGATAGTTTAAGCCAAAAAGACAAAATGTGAACACAATGTTATGTTTTTATAATAGAGAATCTTAAGTCGGAGATTATTCGCCGATCTGATAGTTATAAATCTTGTTCAAGAGCATTTGAATTTTTGTTTAAATTAAAAACTATGGAAGATGAAGATATTAGATGAAGATCAGCAACCGAATTACAACCAAAATACAAGGAGAATTTGGACAAGTAATTTCCCAAGATCTCAGTCACATCAATAAATAATTAAACCTTAAACTTCTGGGAAGAAATATATCTATTATATTCGGGGCAGGATCATGTTTTTTAAAATGCAATTGATTCTATTTTCAAAATAACTAGCCAAGAAAGATTTTACTAATTTTCCAAAAGAGCTATTACAAAGGTGTGAAATATCTTAATAAAGAATGTAAATGAAGATTCCACAACTTCAAAATTATCATACAATCCAGCGTTATCATATATTTAACATTCCATTTAATGTGGATTATAAATCAGTTAAATAAGAATTGCAACTTAAACTGATTTATTTACAATGCAATGCTAAATTAAAGGAATTATTTATCAATGTCTCTAAAATTGAGTTCTAAGGAATATTATTATTTATGTACAATATGATGCGTAAATTCCAATCCTATATTCTGTGTATGTATATTTATGCCCTAAAAGCCATTGTACACAATTACATTATTAATTTACAGTGATTACTAAAAAATCAAAGAATTTACAAAGGATAAAATACCTGTAATTCATCAGAAGGAAATGTCACCACAGCTATATTTAACCTTTCCCTGTGGAGTTTCTCACTATAAGGATTTGACATCAAAGCTTTATCCAATATAGACAGCTTTCTTTCTCCTAAAACTCTTTGAGCTTTAGCTATACTCCCTAAAACATGTAAATAGAAAATTATTTCAGGAAAATGTTTTTTTGTGTAATTTTTGTTTCTTCAAATATCTTTTTGGTAATAAACATTGAAGAACTCAGTACAAATCAGAGTGGATTTTAAAATTAAATCAACATTTGTTGTGAAACTTGAAAATTCTAATTTTAGTTGCTGAAAGTCACTAATATTGATAAAAACTTATATTAGAAGTAGTGATGGTCAGTCTTTGTATCAGAGTTCTGGATATTAGGATATGTTAATAATCCTTCAGTGTTACGAATACAAAATTTCCCGTTGCTACTGTTCTATAAACTATGTCAAATATAATATCAAAACGTCAGAAAACAAACTGTCACCAATTAGGGAAAAATTTAAATAATTTAATAATTTAGCAGACAGCAAGAGAACAGTAAGTAATGGGAATTAATTAGTTTTTTATATTGTTAATTCTATATATTGTAGGAATTTAAGTTATTTTTACGCAAATAAAAACAGTACTTAAACTACAAATCCGTCAATTGCTGGCTGTTCAATAAAGATAAATTCCCAACATTCAGAATTACCCTAAACTATTTGGTACACTATCCAAGTAATATTAAAATTAAATCTTATCATTTAAGATGGCACTAGATAGCAGTAAATACTGTTTAAATGTTTCAGCTTAGATTTACCTTTCCTGTAACTCTTTTCAAATTGATGCACTGTATCTTGAAAGTTTATATATTCTAGCCACACATTTATATCTTCTGGTTTACCAGTTAAATAGCTATTAAAAAATCCTGTCTTTTCACTTAGCTCTTGTTCTTGTTTGAAGCCTGTGAAATTTTCATCTCTAGGAGCAAACCCTATTTGATTCACATTTTTCTGAGTTATTATGTCTTCTTTTACTTCTGGCTCACGGGAAAGATGTTTATAGTAGCGTTTAATTTTATTTTTTGACTTACATTTTTTATAATTTGTGTTACCAAGGAAAAACTTTACATGGTAAATAGGTGCTGATGGTCGTGAAATTGTGTTTACGGAAAGTAGTTCCCTCGCACCTTTCGTTTCGATTTTAAATATGTCGTTCTCAATTATCTTATATTCTAAAATTTCTGACTTCTTGTTTTTGTCACTCTTTTTATGTTTTTTCTTTCGTTTTTTAGAAACTGGTACTTTAGGACTGTCTTCTTTTAATTCTGAATCGGAGTGTGCTTCATCTTGAGTTTTTTTATTCTGTCTTGCAGAATTGGAACAAGTTTCTTGTTGTAATGCCTGAACTTCAGATACATTTGGTAAAGTTGCTTGAAAACTAGAATTTGTTAACCAGGAACCATTATCTACATCTGGTTGAGAAGAATCGTCTGCTTCAGATGCGTAAGCAGCAAAAACTGACATACTGTAATTATAAAATATTTTTTTTATTTTTAAGAATATTGAAGAAAATATCAATGTTTACATTTTTATAACCTAACTTTTGCAGATTATACAACCTGTGATAGAACACAAAACACCTTACAAAACACCTTTTGTCAAATGCAAAACACAAATTGTACACAAAATGACACAAACAGAACAATCGCATAGACACAATCACAAATCATACAACTTTACTTTTAAGGTCATGTCACAAACGGTATTTAGCTACATAGCAATGTTGAGCAGCATAATTTTGATACATAATTTAAGGTAATTGTACCAAATTAGATATATTAAGATTTACTTTCTTTTTCTTAGATATTACCTGCTATGATTCACCTCCGACAAAAACCTCAGAGATAAAACCGACTTAAAAATTTAAAATTATATTTTACATATTTGAATTCGGTCACTGGTGAAAAATAAATACTTTAGACAGAGATTTTTAATGACTTCTTAAGCTTTAAGAATGTACCCTATTATATTATGTCGATCAAATATGCTTTAACTGTTGTCTTCTGTGTCCACATTTGAATAATGGTGGTTTTCTCATTCAGATCTATTCTGTAACTTTTGACAAATCGAATAGAAATCACCAAGTCGAATCGTAATTACTTGAAATCGGAATGTTGGATATCTATCGCGTCGTTTTCGTGTTTGGATTGGCATTCTGTAACTCACATCGTAATAAGTGTAAATCGAAAACGCCAACTTCTACTTGACGCGCTCAAAAGTTGGTGGCAACCCCGCATTGATATGTAAAATAAGTGTTCTGTGACGTTATGTTACTGAAAAGCCTAGTGCAGGCGAAAAATTCATCAAAAAAGAAGATTATATTTCAAGCTTGCCGTCAAGTAGTTTTGACATGTTTTGGTTAAGTTTGAAAAGTTCGTTACAAGAATACTAAAAGCAAGCGTAACAGCAAAGAAAAAGATATCTGTTGAGCAGTTAACTTATTTAGTTAACTTTATTTAAATAAATAACACCACAGACTAAAAAATGAAGGAGCCACAAAAATTATTCAACCGCTAATTTATATCAACAAGTCAAAAAATAAATGTCAAAACAACCAATCCGCAAGCGTCAAGACCAATTTCGATGTCGAAATTTGATCTCGACAGATCTTGTCTAGTCGAAATCAATTTCTACACAACATTCCGATAGTAGAGGTCGAGATGAGTTACAGAATACCGATTTATACAAATTCCGATCCGACTTGCTGACCTCTATTCGATTTGACTCATTTCTATTCGATTTGTAGTTATAGAATAGGGCTGATTGTAAATGAAGGAAGTCGGAAAAAAATTTAAAAGAAAAAACTATTCTATGTTAAAAAAGAAGACTAAACAATTATCCTTCAAGTGACGTGTTATTTGGTTATGTTATGACAGATTGAGTCATTTCTATTGACAATATTTTGATCGGTTTATAAAATGTTTAAACTATAGTATTAATTAAATTAGGAATTCTTGTATAATATACTATAATATAAAATATAATAATAATCGATGGGTTTCATATGTATAAATGGTAAGTGTTTATACACAATAAACTAATGAAATTAAAACAGCATTTTTTTACTATTTCAGGATAAAACCTAAAATTTGGTAATGATTTATAAAGCATATGTTTCTTTTACCAGGCGTAAAATTTCGTTTTTTGTTTTGCCCTTATTGATTGTATCCTTTATTTTTATAATATACCAAGTCTCAATATTTGTGCAGCTCTCAAATGACTCTAAAAATCCAAAGATTATTCTTGTTAGAGGTGTTCACCCAAAAGATTCCAGGTAAATGATATTTTATTTTGTTAGTGCAAATTATTGCAAGTAAAGATTTATGAGAAAAACTGTAAGACCCTTTGTGTATATCCTTTTAATTCTTTTTTTAAGTTTCTTGCTTCTAGTTGTTTTTTAATTTGTAGATTTTATGAACCAAATAGAGAAAATAAATTTGTATGTATTAGAAGTTTAGAAGAGATAGATTTTAAGAAGGTTAACGATGATTACTGTGATTGCCAGGATGGATCTGATGAACCTGGTACAAATGCTTGTCAGACTGGAGTGTTTTACTGTGAAAACCAAAACCATTTACCAAAATCAATAGACTCATCAAAGATAAATGATGGGATATGTGATTGCTGCGATGGATCAGATGAATGGAAAAACATAGATGTATTACAAAACTTTAATTGTAAGTCTATTTATATGTTTGCATTTGAAATTATAAATAGGAGGAAGTGATCTTTTGCCTATTTTTACTTCCTAATGTTGGCAATAGATGTTTTTTGTTATATTTTAGATTCTGCTAACACATCAAATTTGTGTCACTAATAAAATATAATAAAAAGAGTTTGAATCACAGATACAAAAATAATTGTTATGGGATTAGTTCTACAAAACATTGTTGTTACCTGGAATAGTTGCTGTTTGTCTTTAATGAATGCAAAAAAAGTCAGTGTAGCAAAATGTGACAAAATCAATCATCAAACCAACAAAAACAACAAACGTCCTAAGACCAACCAAATATCCAAGAGAAGACCAGTTGTCAACTGTATTCCCTGTTTGGTTCAGACTACATTGAGGATAAAATAAGAATTGCTTTATTAGACAATGTTAAAAATTGTATGTTGCCGAATAAACTACAACAAAACTAACCACCAAATTTTATTCAAAGAAATACAGGTGCTTGGCAGAACTGAAAGACACATCAAAACATCCAATAGCATATAGAACCAACCAACGAATCCCGAATGGTATAACAAGGCTCTGACACTTGAGGAATGTCATCAGTGGATGATAGGAGGTTGTGTGATACACCGAAAAAAGAAACGAGACGCAGAAAATGACATATTAGAATGGCTCGAAAGCCATATGAGTCACAGAGAAACAGGAAAGTTCTATCATCAAATAAATATTATTAGAAAAGAATTCAAACCGAGAATCAACTATTTTAATGATAAGGAAGGTAACTTACCAACCAACAAAGGGGATATCCTGTTATGATAGGTAGAGCACTTTCGAGAGTTGCTGGAAGGCAAACCTACTAACAATATAGAGCTGGAATATCAAAATGAGGAACTCGTGGAAACATCCTCGCTAGATAAAGTGAAAATATCTATAGAAAAACTAAGGAATCACAAATCCCCAGGAAGCGATGGCATCCCAGCAGAGATATTTAAGCATGGTGGAGAGCAGCTCACCAAGGTGATGCGTGAAATAGTTTGTAAAATTTGGTCTGATGACCAAATGCCTGAAGAATGAAGCTTAGGCTTAAGTTGCCTGTTACACAAAAAGGGAAACCAACTGGAATGTAATAATTACCGCGGAATAACTCTCCTAAATATAGCATACACGATATTCTCAAAGATTTTGCATGAGAAATAGAAGATCCAAGAAAAAACCAGATCTTTACACTAACAACGGAGAAAGACAAATAACGATCAATATTTGTGCTAAAAAAAAAACTCTAAGAATAAGTATTAAATCGGCACTTCCAGTGTAAAGAAATACACAAATATGGGTGGAGAAATTATACAAGAGGTTATTAACATATGTTGTTGAATATATAGTAGCTAAACATATCTCAAATCAAGAATTTGAAGACATAATATTGCTTAGGAATGTGCTTTGAAAAACACGTAGATAAAGAGACGAAGATTAAAAAGAAATACAGTTGCGGGAAAAAACAATACAAAATACAGTTTAAGGAAGCACATTCGAAATTTTGCAGAAAGGTCACCCAGAAAAAAAATTAACATGGGAAAACAACTGAATCAACATAATTACTATTTAACTGGGAGTAAGCCACAATTAAAGATAAAAATACGTTTAAATAACGAAACATATAAAATCAGAATTTTGGTGTTTATTGAAGGTAAACTAAATGCACGAACAAATACTTACCATGTCGGGATAGTATTATGAGGTTTTTTTCCTGGTTTTTCCCTCATAATTTACTATGGAATCACTAACAGGAGAATTTTAGTGTCATCATGTCATGTGTTTGTCTTTTTAAAGACGAATTACATGCTATGATTTTTTTTCTGACGGATATTCTCAAGTTAAAGTTGATTTCATGTAATCGAATGAACTATCTTATAAGTAAAGTCGTCCCAGGAGCGCAACTCAACAATATTGGCAATATCATTTTAAAGTCGTCTACTTTGAAATGCATAATGTATGTCTGAATTGTCAATATAAATGAGTCAGATAAAATTAAATTATTAGAAGAAATTTTCACTACGTAACAAAAAACAAAATTTGTTTAATTTACTGTTTGTATTTTGAGAACGATTTCCGAAGTGGAAATTGAAACTTCAATAAACGTATTTTTATCTTTAATTGTGGCTTATTCCCAGTTAAATAGTAATTAATTTAAAATGCCACAAGAAAATAGCTTCTGAATCATCAAAGACAACTACTTAAGGTGAAAAAAAAAAATAATGAAAGCTGGGGACATAAAAAACATATCTGCATGACCACACCATAGATACATGAAATTTTGGATAAAATATCTTATGGTGTTGCCATATGGGTGGCCTAAGGTGACAAATTCGTTAAACTTCTTGTGCTCGAATCGGTATCAACGAAGTGTTATGACTCTTTTCAGCATCGTTGCTTCATCAGACACTCGGGCTGATACAAATTCAAACTAGAAAACTCCAACGAATGTCTCCTAAAACTTTGCTACTGTACTGCATGTATTAATTTATATGTTTTTTTTTATTTTTTAGATGCACAACAAAAGAAGATGCACAAATATCATCCACGTTGTCCTAATGTTTGCTAATAGTGCCTTATTAAGAGGTTCGAATTACGGCTTTAATTAAATTTAGGCATATATGATTAATGATGTGTTAACGGTACATAGATTTTCCTTATACCAATTTTTGTATATAATAAAAATAAACTTTAAAATTTGTTTTGAAGGGTTTTAATTTGTACCCAGATAGTGCTTTCACATAAGAATATTTTCTCAATTTAAACATGTCCCAGTGTCTGTCTATTGATACACTATAGCAGACGTGGTATTTCAAAAACTTCGAAATTGTATCATATTTTTTTTATATATTTCATAATAATTTATATATTATAAAATATAATAATAATAAAAAAATATGATAATACAAAAATGCCGTGACCAAAGAAAAGATGTATTTGCATGTTTCGTGGACTTCGAAAAGGCATTCGATAAAGTACAGCATGTAAAATTAAAGAAAATACTGAAAAATATCGAAATAGATGACAAGGATATTCGTGTCATTAAAAATTTGTACTAGAATCAAACTGCTATCGTAAAAATTGGAGATAACTACACCGATGAAATTTCTATACAACGAGGAGTCAGACAAGGTTGCATTTTGTCGCCAACATTGTTCAATGTTTACTCGGACCAGTAAAAGGCACTTGAGAGACAACCATATGGAATAAAAATCAACGGGGAACTACTTAATGTGATTAGATATGCAGACGATACAGTAATTCTATCAGATAATATTGAGGGTCTTTAAATTCTGCTTGATCGTATTCACGAGGTAGGAGAGGAAATGGGCATTAAAATAAACAAACAAAACCAAATTTTTAGTGTTTAGTCGTGACCCACATCCCGATGCAAAGCTTCAATTGAAAGGAGTTCAAGTTGAGAAAGTTCACAAAATGACATATTTGGGAACTGTGATAATGGAGCAACTAGACCCAGACATAGAAATAAAACGTAGAATAGCAATGACTAAAACTACTTTTATGAAAATGAATTAAGTCTTTGCAATAACCATCTCAGTTTAGAACTAAGGCAAAGAATGGTTAAGTGCTATCTTTGGTCCGTACTTTTGTATAGTGCAGAAGTGTGGCCGCTAAAAGTATCGATCATCCTTAAAGGCAAAATAGAGGGTCGTAGGGGTGTAGGAAGAACACAAGTTTCTTGGTTAAAAAACATTCGTGAATGGACTCAGATACGCAGGACAATTATTCCATATTGCAGAAGATCGAGAAGCCTTCACAATGGTGATCGCCAACGTCCGATAATACTGATATGGCACGCGAAGAAGAAGAAAGGGATGGGATATGGTTTTCTCCGTAAAGAATTAAGAGCAAAGCATGGTTCGACGGACAGGGTCGCTTCCTATAGTAAGTAGATCTATTTCCTACAGGAATCGTAGAAACGTGTCTACCTGATAATCAAAATATGTGATGTGACCGTCAGTATATTAGTGTAAGAGGTATTTAACAATTGGTAATCATCACTATTTTATAGCAATTCCGAGTAAAAACTTAAATTCTCAAGATTTTTAAAAACAAACAAATGTGAACCTACAGCAAGAAGAGATAAAATAGTAACAATGAAAACACAAACAGCTATCATTGAAGACTTATTAGAAAAATAATTAAAAATAATTATGTAGTGTATATTTATATCTATTGGAAATATAATAAACTACGTTATTTACGAATTTAAATTTATTACCTATTATTTAAATTCTTACATTAAATTATACAAGTAATTCTAGCTCTGCTAAGTAATCCAAACTGACCTCTATCGGCCGGTAATTCATTAAAAAGTTAACCCAGCATTGATAATTCAGTATATGCGACAAATTTTAAGTGTAAAATGGAGATTGAAATCCTAATCTAAAACTTTATTCTGATTAATTTTAAGTATCAAACTACATACATATCAACAGTTTTCCATAATAAGGTATTATAATCCACTAAACATCTTTATTTTATAACTATCTTTACTATTTTCTATACATCAAAGACATGAAAACGCCGATTAACAATGTTACGATTCAAATTACTGTACTCTCGTGACGTAATTTCGGGCTTAATGTTCATTGGTTAGTCGGAGTAGGCAACCGTAGTAAGTCTACGAACCGTGTGTAGATGCTCTAGGTGTAATAATTTGTTGGACTAACAAACTTAAAAAAGAACAAAACAGTAATTCATGTGTTAAAATAATAAAAAATAATATTTTGCATTCCTGCAATGTATAACGGTATTTGTGATTGACTTCATTGCCAAAATTAAAAAAAAAACTTGTCATCACATTTTTAATGATATTGTTTTGTTTTTAAAGTAAACGATTAATTAACTAAATATCTGATTAATATCGTTTTTACAAAAAAAAAGGATAATATACTAACGATTCTGATAATAATGATGTTTGATAGTACTAAGCCATTTCGTTCCAACAACAACTTTTTATGTTAATTTATATAAATTACATTTTTTATTTTTAGTTACAAATTCAAGGCAAAGTAGTTAGTTAATACGCAAAGAAAGTTATTGTTTATTGCTAATTGTACAGGAAAGGATAAGTTATTTGATATTTTGTGGTAAACTAGAAAAAATTAGTCAAATTGTACAACAGTCGAGCATAATGCAACAAAAATAACATTTTTATCTATCTATCTATATGAAGTTCCTTTAGAAAGCTTTAATGAACGACTTGAAGCAATTACTACACATGACAAGTACATTTTGTCAACAAATTGGATTAAACGTAGATATATAAAAAAATTCTAATACAATAGTTATTTATACATAAGCAAACATAGTTTGCTATATTGTTTAATTTTCTACCTTTTTGAAAGAAACCATTGGTTAACGTCTAATTCTAGTCAACAATGATTATGTATTATCTATACTATGAATTATATATGTATTATCTATCTTCAGAGTGTCCTCTACTTTTACCTTTAAGGAACGCACTATTTTCGGTGACACCCTGTATAGTACAAATACGACATTGCATAGTATTTTTTAAAAGATGCCCAATTGAATTAACAGAGCACAATAGAGATGAGGCCCTAAACCTCCATCCAACATAAAAGTCAACGGTTAAAAAAGCTAACGTCTAAATTCACAAGGAAAACCATTATAGTACATTATTGTTTTTTTAATTGTGAAGTTTGGACTAAAAATATCTAAATATCTCCTATCTACGTTTGTATTCATTACCCGCATAATTAGTACGTTTTTTACTCAATAAAACACTTCCGTATTTGCATTTTCCTGTAATTAACGATAAATCGCAAACCTTGGCAACGCGACGAACTTTTGATAGAGCTTAACCAAAATATCAAACCGGTGGTGGCGGGTATTGCGGGTAATCCAGTTTACTGAAAACCGCTTTTAACTTCACAAGTAGCCGGTGGGCGCCAATTGATGCCAAGTACTAAATAGCTTACCGACATCTTTCAGTAAGTTTGTTTACAAACAGTTCGTGAGCGGGAATGTGAGCTTAATTCAAGTTCAAGTACAACATACAACAAATTCATTTTGGTAACAAGTTCGCGGGACTTAAGTGATGTTAGTGTGTCACGTTATTGGTTTGATTAATTAAAGATTCAATCGCATTTATTGTGATAATTGTGTGTATTCATTTTGGAAAATTCTTGTATCTACCAGGTAATTTAAAAATTAATTGTTGCATATTTGGGGACTATAATTTTATATTAAATACAAACACTACAAGAAAAAAAAATACACTGCCGGTCAAAAAACTAAGACTTCATATTTTTTATTTGTAAGCTGATATTATTTACTAATTTTAATGGGAATTAATCACAATTTTAGTTGAAAATATTTTGACATTTTTAACTTTTAACATAATCTTTACAAATTTTGATTTAATTCCAGGAATTTATATTAATTATTGAATTTATTGAGTTTACAAACAAAATAAGAGTAACATACTCTTATTGTTTTTTTCTGCCACATGTGGCCCAAAAATGTAGAAATACACATTCTTCAATTTTTTCGAAAAGAGAAAAACTGTGGAAGAACCATTAATTGTTACTCCCTTTCAGGATTTCGCAATAGCCAAGTATTTGATAAGTTTTTCCGTTCATATGTACCTACCTATAGTAAAAAATTGGATACGTTTTCTCCAGGAATTTGGGCGTTGTTTTTAATTATTAACAAATTAATGCGAATTATTGAGATGAGTTTTCCATCGAGGAAAATTTTAAATTTTTATTTGAGAATTTTTATTTTAAAGAAATATTAGTAGGTACCTACTTAGAAGTAGAAAGAATTGAATAGGATAATTTGTTTTTTTTTTATTCATATTCGTAACGTAGGGGAAGTGCGGGAACAGTGTTACAACTTTTTTAATTCGTCACAAAGTTGATGGACATGAATATTTTAAGTTTATTTTTATCATTATATGATAGCATATACTTTACTTTGTTTTTTGATAAAGTATTATAACATTACAAGAATAAGGTATGAAAGTATAGCATGACTTTGAAAATTTGTCATTTGTAACACTACCCTACGGTAGTGTACAGTGTTACAATGTATAAAAAACATGAGAAAGGAGAAATTAAATACATAAATGATTAGGAAAAGATGTATTGTTAATTAAAACTATGAACATAAGGCCTAAATGTCAAAATTATCAAGATATTCAACATAGAGAAAAAGTAAATTTGATAAAACCTATTCAAGTGAATTTTTAAATTTTGTTAAATCGATATTAAAAACCAGCATCTCAGATGTCCGGTTTGTTCCACCTGCAGCAACCGGTGGTGGCAATTTGTGTATAATATATTCCTTACGAAAAGTGTAGGATTGTTCAGTTTTTACAAATTTAAACAGAGGTTTAATTCTCTTTATGTAGACAATCACATATTCTTCCTCCAGTTCCTCCTCGACTAAACCCACCGAAAAAATATTACTTTTAGGCTCCCCTTCAGCAACAAGCACATAATCGCCAACTGAAACTGATGAATAATCCATTTCCATTTCTTCGCCTTCCAAATTGTTACTAGCATTACTTTCAGCATAAGGAACTTCGCCTTCTGATTCCTCAGAACTCTCGGCATCTTTTTTCTCCTTAATGATTTTTTTCTTTACAGCCTTCGCTTTCTTTCTACTTCGTTCCAATAATTCATTTACTAATTCGTCCTTAATAGGAGTGTCTGTTAGCACCATGGATTTTCCTTTTTTTCCTTCCTGTGATGTTTGTTTTCCTTGGTGGGGCTTTTGGAAAGGGTCTAACGAGTTCAGGTGAAATTAAAGTTGTTTGTTTGACCAATACACTTGACATAGAGGGTCTCTCTTCTTGTTGGTGCTGTATATTCCTAGGAGGGGTAGATGAAGGTATTACAATGCGAGGTAAAGGCGAAAGAGTTGAAGTGGAAGGACTAGTTAGAGACTTTGAAACTATAGTCTCATGATTCGAATCTGTTACATGTAATGTATGCTCATATGCTACGTCACAAGGAACTTGTGCCGAGGTAGAAGCCTGAGGTTGGTCTCTGTTTGAAGTCTGCAATGAAGTTGCTGTAGCCAGAGGGCGGTCTGCCACACTGGATGACAAAAAGTCATCGTCTGTAAATATATTTCGATTTAAAGGCCATATGCCTGTCGAAGAAAACCCATTGACTATGTTTGATATAGAGAATGCTTTAGGAAATGCTTTACCAAATAGAGCAGCAACATCATAGATTGAAATGACTTTTCCAGGGTTGCAGATCATCCAGTCGTTGCAAGCAGAATTATAATTGGATTTTAAGCTTTTATAAACAGTTTTGTCAAGAGGTTGAAGTTTCGCACTTGTATGTGGTGGCAACGTAATCATAATTATCCCGCTTTGTTTTGCAAATTCCAAAGAGCCAATTGTGATATGCGATTCGTGATTGTCAAAAATTAGTATCACGGGGTTTTCTTTTGAACACTTAACATGTCTTTGGAAATGGATCAGAACCTCAACAAAAATTTCCCCGTTCATCCAACCGCTCTTTGTTGCACTGCCACTTGAGCCTGCAGGGGCACCAAATAACATTTGATTTTTGAAATGTACCCTTGGGAAAACTAAAAATGGTGGAACAGTGTTTCCAACAGCATTGATAATACAACAAGCGGTAATCAGCACTCCTCTCTCGCCTGATGTTACCTGGCCAACTTGTTTTTGTCCTTTAGCAGACAGCACATTCGGTGGATTATGTACCGTGGTGATTGCAGTTTCATCCAAATTATATATCAAATCGGGGGATATGCTATCTCCAAATTTTCCATATACTTTGATTAAATTTTCGAAGAAAGCATTTACATTAGTCCTATTAAAGCTTGTGGCTCTTGATAAGCTTGTTGCTTCAGGTTTGCGGAGAGACAATATGGGATGCCTCTTACGAAATCCCACTAACCAGTCTATTCCCGCTGAGTTATTAGTATCCTAGTTTTTCGGGATTTTTAGGCCATTGCGAACCTGAAACATAAAAATTCCAAGTAGACAAATTTAAATTGTTGTAACAATTTACTTACAGCCAATTGATAGGCTAGTCCCAAGGTATCTTTGCGGGTCAAACCATCATGTATTTTACTTGCTGTTATTATTCATCATGTTATTATTATTATGTTCTTGCATCAATAACAGCTTTTTTGAGAATCTTCTCATCGGTTTTTAAGAGGGTTCTTACACCTTTGATTTTACGTGGCATTTTCTCACTAAAATTAATTTATAATCAAGAAATTTATAATTAATTGTTTTACTAGGGGTACAGTGTTACAAGAATTTTTGTAACAGTGTACCCTGTAACACTGTTCACTTTTGAACGCCAATGCACATAGAACTAAATTTTTAGCGCGGTAATGAAATATGGGTTATGGTTTTAAGTGTAAATCCAATAGAAATATATTTACTTTCCATCCATAATATAAAATTAATGAATTACTAACGTACTTACCCATATACCAATACACTTAGATCTTAAAAATTTTACTTTTCACAGGTATAAAAACTGTTATGAAAATATGTGACTACAAAACACTTGTATTCAACTACGATAACTGATTTATGGAAGGCATCCGACCTTTAATGAGGTTACGGTACATGTAGTTCGCCTATCTACCAAGAGGTGGAACAGAAAGCAAATGTAACACTGTTCCCTTTGTAACACTGTTCCCGCAGTTCCCCTACACAAAAAGTACATACAAATTAAAAAAAGAAAAGTTTAAATCCAGCAACAAGAAACAGAGATACAGTTAACAGCTCCTTTTCTCCCTCCTCAGCTCTCACTAGTTTCAAAACCGACCAATTTTGAGGCAAACAATTTTGAACCTTTGTGAACGATTTCATTATAATGCAATATTTTTCGAATTTTTCACATTACGTGCTGAACTTTAACTTTCAATTTAACATTCATCTTCTTCGATACGATAGTTCTTGGCGTATAGGGATATACGTTACGTTAGGTAGTTAAAGCTTATCCTCGAAAATTGTAACGGTAAAATTCAGAGAGATATCTATTTCAAAAATATCTTTCTTTACGAAAACAAAATCCATTCACGAAGAATATTCTAAACGTCATCTTGTACTAGAGGTTAGCTTTATACCTACCTTATACAACCCCCTATTGTGTAAAGTCTTGGGTCTATACAATAAACGAGTGGGCGGCCTTCTATTCAGTGAGGTTTTGAAATAATGTTAAATACAAACATTCATGAAATTAAAATGAAAGGATTTACGTCTATTAGTAGAAGTGCGATTTATAAAATTCCCAAAGTCCAAATCGCGGGAGGAATATGTGCATCAGTTTTCAAATATTTATTATTTACTATATAATTTCTAAATTGAACTACTTTCACTTCTTTAGGTAACAATGTATCTGTTTTGACAACTAAATAGGTAATTAGACAAAATAATGAGTATGATTAATTTCAAAACAGGAGTTTAAAGAATTAGAAGGAGGTAACCCGGGCCCAGTTAAATGGTCAAGCTTATTCCAGTGGAAGCAATAAGGAGGATTATTTTTCGTTTTGGCACTGCTGACATGCTCTCTCTAGCACTACAACCCATGAAACTGTGGTAAAAAACATGCTTTATTTATACGGTTGTGAAACACGACGATTAACGGAGACATCGAAGAAAGATATCTCGTCGAACTTAATGCAATAAAGTATGAGAATAGAAGGTACAGTCATGGATGGCATACAACGAAAGCAGCTCAAATGGGTACAGGTCCAATAAATGAAAGACAGTAGACTCCTAAAACAAATACCTGTATGAACACCTACCGGAATCCAGAAGAGAGAATTACCTTAGAAAACACGGATGGACGGAATAAGAAACTTAATGAGTTCGAAAGAACTTAAAGAAAAATTCTTCTCATTTAAAAAAATAGGAGTTATGACTCGTATAGATATTGTAAAATAATCTTATATACAGAGAAAACCACGTTTGAAAAACAATAACAAAAAATATTGTTCCGATATGTTAATTTTAATCTTATTTTTTTAAATAAAATTTTTTATATTCTAGAATGCAAATTTATTTTCTAACGGAGGCAAGTTGAACTGGCGCGTGCCGTGTCCTACTAAAGAACTTTTAATAAAATATATATTAAATTAACATAAAGAATCTGCCGAATGTTGAGGGGTCAGTAAAGAAGAAACTGGTTTGG